AACTTATTCTTCTACACGTCAGCGGATCAAAAATGATATACATGTGAATATGTGATATATAAAACCCAAAATCATATATTAACTTACCAGAAAAGATTATATTAATGCTTCCTCCTTCCTTCGTTCTTTTTTACTAGACCTGTTTCATTTATCATGTTTACCAATGCATAAATTTATCCTTCAATAATTTATTTATTGATAAGTAAAAAATAGAAATTGTGATAGTATTTTTCGAGACAATTTTAACAAGATAATATGCTTTTCCTTATATAATTCATGTAAGACGGTCAAATGAGCATATATGAACAACGTAAAAATCAAAGTAGGTCAAGTAAAAAAAACAAACCGAGGAAGTACTTAATAGTCCCCAATAATCCCCATTCACCAAAACAAGATAAGAGATAGAGATAGATAATAAGGATACAAGAATAAAGGCGCCACGTCACAAGTGACAGTTTGAGAAAATGTATTAGACAGAATTATGCATCTTAAAGTTAAGTCAAAGGACATGCTATCCTAAGGAAGAGATATGTAATTAAAGACTGAGTCTTAGGTGAAATCAACTTCATTATTAAATCATTTATTTTGACTGTAATTACCAAAGTAAACAATCTCCTCGAACTTAATAGACTTATGAATACTACACACACTAGCAAAAAGGTTGTAACACTTCATAATCCTATTGTATAAAATGAGTACCAAACATCTCACACGATGATGTCGAATTGCTCGACACTAGTATAGTAATATTTGAATCTTCTTTTAACTTAATCACTAGAACTTTCCTCAAAAATAAAAAATAGATAATTAGAAAAATAAAATAAATAGCACCTTAACTTCAAAGACATGTGAATACCACACATACCAGCAAATGGTTCTAAGTTCTAACTAGTCATCCTATAATATCAAGTAAAGACTAGGGTAGAATTGTTCCAAACTAAATGTTCTTTTGACTTTGTTTCTAACATATTAGCCTTGAAATAAATACTAAGATCCTGATCTTATATGAGCAATGCTGTGTGAATCCTGTTAAGATAGGGTTCAAGGAGGTCTAGACGTACCTCGCCTCCCTCTAAGCACTTTAAAACTATTTGAGAGGTTAATCTAAGCAACCTACACAAAAATCTCCATTCATAACCAGCCTGAACAAGAGATCCTTCTTTTCAATTGAATGTTCAGGCTATTTCTATGCTGCATGAAAACATAAAATACATTATACCTAGGGGGTTTCAAAGTCTACAGTTTTGAAAGTAAGGAAAAGTTCAAGACCTAGATGTTTAATATAGCTTAGTCTCATAAAAATAATACGGGCATGATTAATAAGATGGGTTCATTTATTACAAGGAAGTGGTACTATTTGTTAACATTTCTTGAGAAAATGAGAGTAAAAAGCCAAGTTAGGAAAAAATACTTGTCACATTTAGAATGTGAAGAAAACATTCCTATTCCTAGCAAAAAAATACTTGTCATGTTTCCAAATTTGTCACATTCTATATATATTTTACATTCATCCATATTGAGTTTTTACACTTGTTTCAAAGAACTAAAGAGGAAGGAAATAAAAAAAAAATCGAGCCATGAGAATATTAAATGTCTTTTATATTTTTGAAAAATTGTAATCCTCTTATTATTGCTAGATTGCACTAATTTAACACTTTCTCACAATCATTTGTTTTATAAATATATATTCTTGTGATTTTTACCGATTTCACAACTAACCTTTGTAATTTAACCAAAGGATACTCTCTTAAATTAGAAAATCTATAATTTAGAATAAATTAAACTTAAATTGGGATAAAAATAATCAAGCAACACAAATCTAACTTCTTATACGTATTGATTATTGAGAATTTGAGATATGAGACATATATTAGGTTCGGGAAGTGTAACACGAATACACGATGTCATCAATTTTACCGCGAAATCAAAATAAGCACGAAACGCGATTGGATAGAAAATGATCTATGTAGTAGTATACGTGAGTGTTGTGTTGTTTATCGACCCATTGAACTTAAAGGGAATTGTATTAGTGTCGATTCCGGTAATTTATAGTTTTCATGCGAAATATTAGATATGAGCCTCTTATTAGTAAAAAAAATATATCTCTATGTGATAAGTTGATAACCATGATATAAGGAACATAATATAATATTGTCGCTATTATTCACACTACAAGTTAAAACAATTAAAACATTTTTTTTTAATGGAATATCTTTCTAACCACCAAAAAACAATCGCAATCAAATATTGTACTGTATTGAAATTAATATAAACACATACATATAATAAAAAATTTGGTAGATAAAAAGTATAATGTGACAAAAAAAAAGAAGTATATTGAGTAGTATAATTGTATAAAGTTATATTGCAGTTTTATAATATACAGATATACCATACCACAAGAGAATTGAGTAGAATTTGTTTTTCATTCCCTTAAAATAAACAAGAGAGTATGTCATGTTGATAAATTTTCATTCCCGCCTCCTTAGTCTTACGTATCAAACGACCAATAATTAAAAAATAAGATGAACAACATCGTATTCAAGTAATTAAATTTTTTAAAAAATATATTACGAATATATTCGGTAAAATTAGTAATTACGAACGTAATCAATTATCGTAACTTGAAAATGGATTCAGTAAATGGGTTCGATTTGTGTCAATTAGAAAACTTGTCCCTTCCCCTCCTATACTCGACTCCTCTTTAGTCTTTACAACTTCTATATAAACTGCTAATGTTAAAAACGTCCATACATTCCATCCTCTAAGAATATTGCAAATTTTAGCTTTAGCTAGCTGATCGACTAATACAATTACACTTCATCATCAAGTAATAACCTTTTATTTTTTATTCAACCTTTATACTTCTATTAATTTCATAATTTCCATTTAGTTTCTAAAATATATATTTTGTCACTTTTATCAATTCATTTTTTTTGCAGTGTAATTGGCCAATTCAATGGAAACCCTTAATAAGAAGAATGGATTAGATGCCACCTTTCGCAACAATGTGCTCAATAATGTGTAAATTTCCCATCAACTTTTCTAAATTTCGATTATTTTTTTAGTTACTACATTTTTATTTCATTTTTTTTGAGGATGAATGATATTGTCAATTTTTAATTATAATTGATTATTTTCTGATTCTGTATTTGGGTTTTCCCCAAAATTTGTTCTTTTTTATGTTTTTATTGAATTTTAATTTAATATAATGTTTTTCTTATTAAAAATAGGATCATGAAGAAATTTAAGGAATTTGCCCAGAATTCAGAAAACCCAGTAGTTCTGAGCACAATTAACGACATAGTAGTGAGATTAGAGGAAAACTTATTCAGTAAAGCAACAAGCAAGGTAATATTACCTTCATCAAATTACTACAGTATTCAATGATCCTGTTGAACTTATGATTTAAATCTTTATTACTGAGCTTAATTACCCCTAATATTCCTATGTTGTAGTCAAATATGACCATTTTCGTGTATCCGACGACATTCATAGAACTGGTGGAGATTGATCAAGAGTGCAAGTTAATTGCCCCTTTATACTCCTTCCGTTCGGATTTAGTTGTCATATGAGTAGTTCAAATTATAATGACAATTAACTTGATGGAGTTAATGATGGTTTGGACTATTCTTTATCTTATAAGATTTGCATGAACCAATTTAAAGTAATTATTGGCCTTGGTAAAAGGATGCATAAGATGATTGATGAACATATAGTTCTAAAGATAAGCACCTAGAACTCTAGAAGTTACTCTATTTTCCAAGCCTTAAAGGAGTTTTGTTCTTTGACTGAATTTGTGTACAACGATTATGCTCTTTTATTGTTTAGTTGTAGGTGTATGATGGTTCGATCTCTAAGATGCGTGAGGTTTTTTTACTCATTTAGGTGTACCGAACCTTGGCTCCTACCAATTCATCAACAAACTGAATTTTGATAAACAAAAAAGGTTTTTGATGGTAAAAAAAAGATTGATTATGTAGGTCTAAGTTTTGTTTCTCATCTTTTGCTGTTTGCAGGATGATTATTTAGCTAAAGTGCTACGAAAGTTGAACTTGGGTTGATGCTGTGGCAGCACCAACAACAGGTAAGAGGTTTAGTTTATTCACATAATTTTTGGTAGTTTGTTGTCATGTGTTTTTATTGCTTTGTGCTTGATTATGTGTAGAACATGTACACAAAGATTAAATCTAAAGTTGGATTAAATTTAAATGACCACAGTAAATTATCAAGTTACTGATTAATTGCTATGGAATTGATCCAAGCGTTCTTCATGCTCATCTATGGAGCCAACATGACTCAGATAGAGCCAAAAACACGAGTTTTACAACCCAAATGTTGCTATGTTGCATGATGAAGGGTTATAGATCACCATTAACTCATGCAATAAGTCCATCATAAATTCCTCAATAACTTTTCATAAAACTGATAATTAAAATTGAAGTAACTGTTCACTATTGACTTTCGTAACTGATGAATGAGAAATGGTCCAAACATGTCATAATTGGCATTGAGGAAGGGGTGCAAAACACAAACTTCCTTGATCTCTGAGAAAGCTTCTTTAGAAGGTTGGCACGGTTGTGCTGTACACCAGAAGTCAACAAATGTTCATTTGGACTTGGCATGATGGATTGCACAAAATTATCATAAATCTTCTAACCAAAAATGGATTCTAGTCATTTTGTTATATTGTTGTATCTTACTCTCCTTCACCTTTGCCCCCCCCTCCACCCCCCCCCCCCCACTATTAATTAAATTCTCACATAGAGCTTAGTATTTGGCTTTTAACAACTTATTGGCAGCCTTTGCTCTAATTTGGACTTTTGACAGAAACTTGTCCAGTGTTTTGCTATGCGATGTGATCTTGTATATCTCATCTATTTCATACGAAGTATTATATATATTATGTGATTATGTCAGCCAGTCTTACCTGATCATGTTATATATTACACAGTAAAATTTATTGTTAACTTTATGCTAGATATTTGATAAGTAAAGCAATGTTGCAATTGACATTGAAAAGTGCTGTTTCAAATTCATGTTAGTGGATTTTTAAAGTAATGTTGGCTTCGCTCATTGTCATTATCACCTAGGGAATCAGCTGTTGAATACGTCAATACAGAGGCAAGCTGTTGACTCCAATGATTCTCAAAATAACCTCAGTGGCAGCTGTCCACTTCAACAAAGCCACCAATTGCTTCAAAATGAACCACAGGTGTTGCAAACACCTATGCCAGCATCATCAGTTATGCAACAAAACAATCTAATTATACAACTGGATCAGATACACCAAGATCATCGATTTGGGCATCATAATGTTCTTCCATCTGCTCAACAGTATTGCTCAGTGAAAGAACAAAACCGTGTAGAAAACTGCCAACAACCATCACAATTCTTAAGTCTGCCGGTCAGCTCACATGAGCAGAGTATTCAGTTTCCTGATGCTAGGCTACAGGAATCTCACATGCCAAGTACTTCTCCTCATTCTCAAACCTTAGTTGGTAAGAATAAGCATAGTTCTCAGTCACAGATGACAAGTGCAAAAGCTGCATCAGGTAAGAATATTATGAATCACATCATATGTTTTTTTGTGTTGTTTATTTGTGGAGGAATTTGTGCAGTGAGAGTTGTCTATTATACTGATCATATTTCTGAGTATTATGCTGCCTTCTCTGTAACTTCTGTTTGCATCAAGAACAATGTTAGTTTATCGGTCAAATATTATGCTTAACAACTCACAAAAAGGTGTGAAATTTTTAATGTGTCTGTTTCATGGGAAAAGGTTACTACCTTAGAACTTATTAAGAGTTGGTAAACAGAAGACTGAATTCTGTTTTTTTTTTTTTTTTTTTTTTTTTTTTTTTTTTTTTTTTGTCATCATGATACTGCTTAAGCTTTTCCGTACTCATGTTCATCAATACGCATCTTGTTAAAAAAGCGAGTAATAAATAATCAACTTTTTTGCACAAATCCCTTCAAGGTTCTAAGTCTGCTTGTATTTGTGTGTGTGTGTTGTGTTGTGTTGTGTGTGTGTGTGTGTGTGTATATATATATATATATATAATTAACATTTGTACTTTCTTTTACATGCTCAACTGTCAATTTTGTATATTTGTTTATAGTCTATAATTTGTTGTCCCCTCAATTCTCCTAATATCTTAAGCTGTAACTTTTTTCATTTTAAAATTATTGCCTCTTCAGCATCTGTCTCCTTTCCTGATGCTGGCAATATCAATGCAGCTGATTGGAAGCTTCTCATTGACCAGGTCTGAATTTTTTTTAATCATTATGGTTTTATTTCTATCATGGATCAGGATAACCCCTGAGTTGCTGCATATTTCATTGTTTTTTCATCAACTTCGTTTATCAATGATTTTGGATCTTCCTAAATAATATGCTTTAAATTTTCATACAGTTTTTATGGAATGATTTGCCCTCATTTCAAACAAATTTCAATTAAATATATTTTTTAAAAAATCAAACAATTTTGTAATTTGAAGGATTACTCCTGTTATGTAATTCGTGAAAGGGAATAATTTGGAAAAAAAATCTTGTGAAATTGGAAAAAAGTTTTCCCAGTCATCTGCTGAAGGCAGTAGATTGTTAAATTGCCATGAGGGCTAGATAAACTTTTTATATTATACAATATACATACCTCTCATTCTATAGTGGGTAGATCATCATTTATCAAACATTATCAATGAGTTTTGCTGGACACATTGCAGTATCAACGTGCTAGGTCGACGTACTTACCTGAGCTAAATAAATTACTAAAGAGAGCTGAGGAACAGTGTTTTCAGGTATCTGGTAGTAGTTTATATTCTCTATGTATTATTTATTTTTTTATAATTTTTAAATTTTAAATTGGCTTACACTATCCCTGCTCAAACAATTGCTGAAGAACCTTAATGATTATCTATTGCTTGAATGTGTATTCTGTGATGCAGGGACAGAATGCAAAGCAACTTGAAACAGTTAAACGTGCCAGGGATGTGATTAAACTGATGATCAAGTTTTTACACATTCCAGAAAGTGAATTGTTACACATCTCCAAAGAAATAGTGTATCAGTATTTGAACCAAATTATACAATACTTCAATTCATTAAGTAAGAAGAGTACTACTTCTTCCAGTAATCAAGCACCACAATCCTCTCATGGACAGATTCTTGTGAACAATGTGCTAATGACGCCATTAGTGAATACCACCCTGATAAGAAAACCCATGTCACAGAGGCCAGAGGATGGGTCTTCACATTCACAACCAGGTGTTCTGAATTCACCTCTTTATGATTCTGCACACGCAACAAAGCAGGTGGATATGAAGACCCTGCAGCTCCAGGTTCCTGAGGACAGTGCAGACAAAAATGTTGTGAGTCTATAATGCTTGATTGCATAATGTTTTATTGCTCTCAATTTTTTGGGTGTGTGTGTTTTTTTTGGTCATGATATCTCCTGTTCTTTTGACAGAAGCCACTCACAAGGTAACACATTTAGAAGCATTATTGAAATTTGTGCTTTGGGCCTGTGCTGATTTCATAAAATATCTCATACGATTCTATATGGAAATGCTTTAAGTATTTGTATATCCCATCCAATTTCATTCACAGAAAATTTAGCGCAATATACTAAATGAGCCATAAGTATACTTAGTTATTGAGTCTACTTTTGTAGATTGATCTTGCTTGTATTATACTTTTTCTCCAATCTTTGTTATGACGTTGATTTTAGATGTGTTAGAAGTGTTTACTCATAAGCTATGCTGAATTCTGATACAAGCTTCCATGCTAATTCCAGCATCTTAATGTGAAAAAAAATCCACAACAAAATCAGATAACAAGTGTGAACCAGACTACAGAAGTTCTGCGAAAAAAGAAGCCACAAAATCTGCCAGAAAAGAAAAGTGATTACATGAATTCAATGTTCCCACCAATGACAAAAGCCACTTCCAGGACTATTTGTCAGCAATCATCTGGTACCTGCCTTATGTCTGCTAAACCACTCCAAAGTTATTCTGCACAACCCGAGAAGAAAAGAAATGCATCATTTGTTTTGGATCATAGAGAAATGTCACATCCTAAGCCCATAGTCATTGCAGTTGATTCACCTTCAACTCCTATTACACCAACTTCTGCACCAAAGGAAATTGTGAAGTCTGCTATGTCTGTTTCTCCTACAAAGTTTCAAGCTAGCAAAGCTCAATGTGAGACTGAGGTACAAGACAAGGATCTTGACTTTGAAGCACCTGGGGTATTAGCTTCTCCCTTGCCTTCTGATTCCATTGGTCCAGAAAATAACCAACTTCCACATTGTGCAAAGCGGCCTTTTGAGCGCTTAATTCAAGCAGTATGTCTTTCAATTCTTGTTCTGTTTCATCATGTACCTGTAAGGCACCCTGTGATTTATGCTTTACTTAATCACTTCTTAACAACATTCTGTTTAATAAGATAGGGAAGAGCCAAGTATAATGTGCAGGTTTTAGTAGTATCACTATAAAGGTTCCTAGATTGCTAGTAACCCCTGCCTACAATCTGCCTGCCACTGCCTGGAAAGCTAGACATATTGTTTGATTAATTAGCTGTATTTTTACGGTTTGTGTCTGCCCAAAAAAAAAAAAAAAAACTTTGATCTTGGAATGTGTAGTCAAGTGTAACATCTAAAATTTAAAATTAAGGAGTGATCAAGTAAAAAAAATGTTATACTTATTAGGGGTTTGGATGACTATGTAGAATATGCCTTGTGCAGTGGTATTTAGTGAAAAACCTGGTGGATATTTTTTTTTTTAATATTTCTTTCTTTGCCTATCAGGTGCAGCGTATTTCTAAGGAAGCTCTGAGGAGTTCCATGGATGACATTGCCTCAGCCATGAGTGCTGTGAATAACTTGCCCGCATATGCAAATGATGTTGATTCACCAGCAGTATATTGTAGTACTGGCGATGGATACACATCCTGTAAAAAAATGAAACGTGACATAAATTCAGTGAGAGGGGTTGTGTCGGCCTTGAAAAATTATGGTTCGTGCAGAAAAAAGTCGAGAAAAGAGGTATAATACACTTTCCTGCAGCATAATTTAGCATGAGCAAATAGTATTGTTTTTAGTCATAGACAAGATGTATGTTCTTTACAGCAAAATCATCTTTGAACTAGAGTTTTGAGGCCTTATAAATGTCTGTATGTTTTATATTTTACTGATTGGAAGAGTGAAATTTTGATATACATTCTTAGAAAGCATGGTAAATTAAATCTGTAAGAACGGCATGCTTATGCTCTTTCATAATATCTCGACTTTGTGCAGGTCAATAACGATTTAATGGATGGAATTAGACAAACCAACCAGAGACTTATTGAGACAGTGCTAAAAGTATATTGTGATTTTGATTCTAGTCACGATGAGACCATCATCAAATGTACCTATAAACCTGTGTCCTGTAGTGGAAGTTTTAAGAGACATTTTGGATTTATGGAATCAGTATGTTTTTTCATTCTCCGCTCACAGCTGTGCTTTGCTCTTTTATTTAAAACCATACTCATTCGGTCATTGTTGTCATATTTAACTTGCAGATGTTGACTCTTTCAATCGAGATTCTTGTTCCTTCGTACTACCCTAATACCGCTCTTAAGATCTTAGACAGGCAACCTGATGGATGCTGGTGAGTGAATATTTCAGTTTCTATTTCTTATCTTCTTTTTACAACTCATGCTTGAAATGTATATAATGACTAATGAGGTTGGGTTTCGATAAATGAAACTCAAATTTGTCATTTTGTTTCAGTAAAGAGACTAAAGATTTGACGGAGAAGGCAAGAGCTAGATTTGACAGGTGCATTAGAGGCCTTGTGTCGCTAGGACTAGGAGACATGGCTCGAGCTTGGGATGATAGTGCTCGATCTGTTATTTCCGACTTTACCCTTGGTCTTGGAGGAGAATCTTTCAGCTCTAAGTATGGCACCTGGGAGTGTGTTTCAGCAGTTTGATGAAAATCTAAGTGATATATATAGTAGGAAAACAGAAGTGAGGAACTCTCATTCTGAATTTCTGATGCTCGGTTGAGGCTATTAGGATATTACTGCCTTGTCCCTATCTTGTGAATATGCCAATACCAATATAAATATAAAATACTTTTTGGTAAATACGTTAAGAGGTTGTTATATACACCCGGTTGTACCGTATACCCATGAATATTTATTCTCATTTCAATAATTATTTTTCATTTTATCATTAAATGAAAAGCAAAAACTAACTTTAGGTTAGTTGGGTGTACTATATACCCGGGTGTGTATAAAAAATAAAAATAAACAGTTACTCCCTCCGTGTTTTTTTAATTGTTACTGTTTGACCAGCACATAATTTTAGGCAATTTAATTGACTTAAATAAAATAAGAGGTAAGTGGAGTAGTTGAAATATTAAAAAATGTAAAAAAAAAATAGTGAGGTTAATAATTTATTGAAAAGTAATGAATGTGAGAGGAGAGATATAATAAAGAAAGTTATAGAGGGTTTGGGTGGGGACCATGAGAGGAGAGAGATATAATATTTTAATATAGTTTTTTGCAAAAAAAGGAAGTGAACATTTATTAAAATGCTATTGGTTTTTATATAATTATTGTTGAATTGTTGGTCATAGAGTCTATATGGTTAATCATAATTGCTTGGATGACCGATGCTGAAACTAAACATTGATTTGTTCCCGTAATTTACTGCATTTCTAGAAAAGTTGCAGTATGCTGATGTGTGGTTCCTCAGATATTTTTTCTTCATTTAAGAGTGATTTATGTCCTTGTTTGTAGTATGGGATGCTTGTTACTTATGTAGCTGTTTGTCTACCTGCATATCTGTTTGCCGTGATAAATCTTTCAAAAAAAGGAGTTGTGCTGTGTGTTTGCAATGCCTACTCAAAATTTCTTGATGATTAGGAATGATGACATTGACCATGTGTTTAGTATTGAAATTACTGGTATGCATATGGCGTTATTAGCATTGCTCTGTAGGCTGTGATAACTCTTCTCAAGAATGAAAATGTCTCCGATATTGATCGTTGAAGGCTGGTAATGTTGTATGCTTTGCGCTTTGAAAAGGAAAGTCCTGTCCAGCTGATGCAACTTTTCAACAAGCTTGCTTCCAAATCAGCAAAAGTACAAGCCTGGGGTAATGCAGCTAATTGACATTGACTCTGAACTTTCTGTGCTACATCTGCTTAGTTTGTTTGTTTTGCTCTTTGAAATCTAGTTTTAATGCCCCTAGGGTAGATTTCTCCTTTTAGTATTGTCAATTAATTGAAGAACTCGAACTTCATTTGACTGTCCTCACTGCATGAAGAATGTATTTACTAATGTATTTGCATATCATCAGTGAATGCTTTTCTCATCACTCTGTACATTAGATTTTTCTTATTATGAGGTATGCCAATCTAACTGGTACTTGTTTCCCTATTCTTCGAGGTAACAGCTGGTACAGTTTCTTTTGAAGCAAACTGGTGTTGAAGTTGATAAGCGTACTGGGGACTTGCTCGTAACATGGTCTGTGGACTGAAGGTTGTGACATTTGTTAGAAACTATGCTAGTTTCTGATACCTTGAGATTAACCTATAAATTACTAGTTCATGACAGCACGAAGCCATCAAGCCATGTTGGGTAAAAAATGCTTTTAGGCCAATTTTTTTATGGAAGCTTAGCTCGGTGTAACCCATTTCTTCAGCCATGTTTGCTGTAATTTCCGAACTCTTGGTGAAGTGTGTGTATGAGGCTGAGCAAGAGCCCATCAATTATCGTGCCAGGTTACAAACTGTTGGACTATCATATCTCGATGGTGCTAGCTAACACTAGTCTCTTTGGTGGACAATGTAGAGGGTGTTTGTTGATTGAAATTTTGTATACTTCTTTGATACGAAAGAGGAGCTGTATCTATAAAGGAGAGGAGAGGCCAAACCGTCAAATGTAGAAATCAGATAAGTAGAAATAGAATGAATTTAACATACTACTTCCAAGTTTTAAGTGTTACTCTTTGAATTTTTCCATTATATTCACATAATGGTTTTGACTTGGTTATTTTTACTAAGAGTAATATATTAAAGCAAATGTTATTATTGGAGATTACATATTAGTGTAAAGTAGTTGGTTAATTGTATTCCTTGGCTAATGTAATTAGTAGTATAAATATACACAAATAGTATGATGTAATAGTATCTTAGTATTATTCTAAGATTTTCATTCTGAAATAATACACTACTTTCCTTTTCTCTCTCCTCTCTTTCTCTCTTCCTTCCACGATACTGATTGGAGCAAGCTACTTCCATGGCTTCTCTTCACTTCCTCCATGACTTTCTTCCACCATAAACGTGAATTTTAACAGTTATTGTATATAATACATTGTTGCATTTGTCTGTTACAGTGTATACTTTTATAATATTAATATTTTTTATAATTTTATTATCATATATTTAGATAAATTAATGGGCAAAATTGTGTTTTGTCATGCTTGTTTAGTTTAAGTGTAGTATAGAGTGTTAAATAGTTACCAAGAGTTGTCAAAACTTCCCCGATTAATCTGATATGATCTAACTCGAAAAAATCCATTTCAGATTTTGACTCGTATAAACATAATAATTTAACATTACTTAACTTTGAAATAAGCCCGACCCCACCTTCACCGAAATGATTAGAGTATCTTAATTGACACCTATACGACTCGTAACATCAATTAAAATACTTTTTCCATTTCTACTAGTTATTATAACAATTGAAATTTCACGTATCCAAGCGGGGGCCTAATCGTACCTACGTAAACTCACATAGTCACGGTCATACACTCATACATTCGAACGTTTTTCCAATTTGAGCTCTAAACGTAAACTAATGACAAAAATGGTTGCGTGGCAAAACTATTTACCAAACTAAGCTTCCAGGGTAAATCGCTGTCTCGGACAGCGTTTTACCCCTGGTTTTTTTTTTAAAAAAAAATTCAACTACAACTATTTTATATGTTCAACATAAAGCGCTGTCTCAGACAGCGCTTTATGCTTGAACATAAAACGCTGTCTCAGACAGCGCTTTATGCTTGAACATAAAGCGCTGTCTCAGACAGCGCTTTATGCTTGAACATAAAGCGCTGTCTCAGACAGCGCTTTTCTGCTGGAAACAGCAACCAACATCCAGGCAGAAAACAAGCTTCAGCAAACAGCTTGCATGCTGCAGTCCTCCAACAGCCACCACAACAGCCAGCTCCACAGCCCTACCCCACCACCGTCGACCACCAACTCCGCCACTCCCCACCACGTACCACCACCATATTCTGGGAGTTCCGTCAACTTTAAGCACTGCAGAAAACTCGAAACAGCCCAACAACAGTCCAACCACCAAATTAACTTCAAAGCACACACGGAGTCATTCAAAAAAGATTTATTATATTAATTTCATAAGTGTTATGTACATCATTACACAAAATAACAGGGAATACAACAGATAATACTAGCCCGACTCATTTATTCGGGGTAAAGGTCCTGCCTCCTGAGTGTCGGCCCTCCGTCTGACACGTCGCCGCCTGTAATGAGTGACGGTGGTGAATGGGTCTCGGGGCGGTGGGGGAGTCAGCTGACTGGACGAGGGGTCCTCCTGGGTACCAGAGGGCGCAGTACTGTGGATGTTGTAATCCTCTGCGTGTCTGGGTGACGTAGGATCACATCCACCGCTGCTCTGGCCGAGATCGAACTGTGAGTTGCCATCATGACCGTCCCGCCGGTGGGCGAGATGAGCGTGACCATATCTCCGTAAGGTAGCGACGCCCATATCTCGCACCTGCTCGACCTGGGCTCTAGTGGGTCCGCACTCAAGGGAGACTGATAGCGCATCAACCATCGCCACCATATCCGCCGCCTGCAGTAATCATCGATCAGTCAGATCTATGGCATACAAATATGGAAATTGTTGAAAAGGAGTAGAAAAATAATAACTCACATATCCGCTAATGATGTCATATGCTGGATGGTAATGTGTGGATGGTGGTGCGTAGCTGGGGTTGATGAAGCGTCGTGTGATACGCCTGTACCACACCATGTACGGATCGTCGGGATCCATAGCCCCCTGCATTAGATCACCTCCAACGATGAACTCCAACCGTTGCTCCCATAGCTGAAGGAAACGCCAATGCTCCAGCGCCCAGCTGGTCTCCCCCTTTCCCCGACGATCAATGCCGTGAAGCTGTACACTAGTGTCACACCCCTGTGGGATAGTCTGGCGTAGTCCAAACTGCCTCATGACTCGGTCGGGCAGGTGACTCTCCACAACCTCGAAACAGATCAGGGGGACCCTAGCACGCCACTCCGCCTGATGGTCTAGCAGATGTGGAGGCATGGCATCTACCAAGTCAGGTACATACGGGTCCCATGTCACCTGTAAATACACATCAACAGTAATATTATGAATATGTTAGTTCGCAACAAGTACAATGTTAAAACAAAAAAGCTAAAACTGTATTTTAAATTGTTACCTGGTCCTCGGTGAGTCGGTCTAGGGCGTCTCGGTAATACGGAAGACCCCTCGCCGCATGAGCATGTGTCAGCCTGGGTACCACCCACCTAATATCGAACAATGTTTCAGTTAACAACCCCGCGCATTAAATAAAGCTTAACTCAATGAAAGTTGTATCGAACCTGCAACCATATGCCTCATCCGGTGTAGGGAGCGGGGGAGCATCGTACGCCTGGTCCCATACGGCAACGCTGCGGTGTGTGCCCTGTAGTGTAAGCACAGAAGGGTCAACGGGTCCAGGCGTACGATCTTCACCGTCCATCGTATCTGTTCACATGCAATTTAACAAATCCCAACAGAGTTAACGCATTAGCAATTAACCAAAATGTTAACGATCAAATGTTCCAAATGTTATTAAATCAAAATGTTCCAAATGTTATTAAATCAAAATTTTCTGTCACATGCTTATTCGTAGAAACCGGTAACACTTGAACCCCATTGCCGGTCTCAAACCTCATTTTAATGTGTACGTCAACGGTCATCGGGTCTGAACCAATACTACTATGAACCTCATTCATCAAATCATTCATAGTCATGTTCGGTTCTAGTGTTAGTGGTTCCATATTTCCCCCACTATACTCGACCCGGGGTCCATCAAACAGAATTTCTCCTCCCCACCGGCATAACAAAACTACATTTTGTGACGCCATATTCTACATAACCAAAACACATTTTAGGATTATCGAAATCTAGAGCGAGGTAAATTATCAACACTGAAATAAGACTCTTCTCACCTATAACAACTTCACTTTCAACAACTTCACCAATTTCAACAATTTCATGAACAATTTGAATTATTTCAACAATTTCAACCTAAACTATTTCAATAATTTCAACAATTTCATCTCTTCTCACCAATTTCAACCATTAACAACTTCAACATTTTCACCATCATCAACTTCACCAATGTCATGAACAATTTCAATAACAATGTACCACATCACCATCAATAATTATCAACAATGTACCACATTTTCATTAATAATTAGCAACAATTACATGCAATTGACATGAATTAACAACAAGTAAGAGCAATTACATACAATTCACAATAATTAACCACAATAACTATGCAATTACACTAAATTCAGTTTAGGGCTAACCACGAAATTGAGTGAGTGAGTGTGAGAGGGAGGAGGGCAGCAGCGGTGGCGCAAGGGTGGGCGGCGGCGGCAATGCGGGTGTTTGAGTACGGTCGTGGTTTAGTGTGAGAGGGAGGAGGGAAAGCGTTGAGGTTGAGGTTGAGTTCTTGCGCATTCTGCTGAAGTGAACATGCTGATATATGGCCATGAAACGCTGTCCCGGACAGCGTTTCATTTAAAAAAAAAAACAGGGCATAAAACGCTGTCTCGGACAGCGTTTTACCCATTGAATTTTTTTTTAAAAAAACCCAAGGATAAAACGCTGTCCGAGACAGCGTTTTATGCCCTACTGAATTTAAAAAAATACAGAAGGTAAAACGCTGTCTGGGACAGCGTTTACCAGTTGAATTTTTTTTTAAAAAAAAAACCAGGGGTAAAACGCTGTCAGAGACAGCGATTTACCCTGGAAGCTTAGTTTGGTAAATAGTTTTGCCACGCAACCATTTTTGTCAATAGTTTACGTTTAGAGCTCAAATTGGAAAAACGTTCCATACATTCAGAAGTCTCATAGTCGTCAAATAAGTTCGTTCCAAACTCCAACAATTTAATTTCAAGTCAAGCTTATAAAAGAGAAACAAATTTAACTAAAGCTTCATTACCTAATAATAATAGCAATTAACAAACTGTAATTTCTCATTTATATTCTGCTCATTATATCTTCATTTCCCTCTTATTCTCACTTCTCTTACTACAATTTCTTCATATTTTCTTGAATATTCATAATTTTCTTGCAGAACAAACTTGCTCTTCTTCATCATATTCTTCTGGGTTTTAGCTTTTTCTGGAGAATTTCTCGCTGGAAAGGTATAATTCTGCTCTATTTTACTTTGAGTTCTTAGCTTAGAGTTTGATTAATTGATTTTTTTTGGTGGGTTTTTGTTCTCGTGCAAATTTATGCATGGGTTCTTTCATTTAATTGTTTTCGTTTTTTCTTTACTAATTATTTCATATTCTTAGTAATTTTGTCAATTTTTTTTATGTTATTTGATGATTTGATGAATAATGATGATCTTACGTAAAATGGCTACTTAGATTTTTTACTTTGTAAGTTGAAAAAGTTACCCACAATTCAGGAATGATAAAAAGAAGAAGACTACATTTATCGTTTGTAATTAAATTATAGGCACTTTAATTTTCATCATATTTTTGTAAAAGATTGACAGAATTTTCTTGATGTTTTGATAATGGCAACTTCATTCAAGGAACATAACGTTTTTTACTTTCTATTTTGATAAAAGGGTAATATTATAGGTATATTTAATCGTTTGTTGTTAAATTATGGGAAACTTTAATTTTTCATCATATTTTTTTGTAGAAGATTGATACCAGTAGAATTTTCTTTACATTTTTGAAAATGGCAACATGGAGGAACAAAACATGTTTTCTTACTATTTTGATAAAAAAAAATCTGAATTACAATCTGAACCAATTTCAGTCTTCTAAACTCTAAAAATGACAAAACCTACAATGCCAAATCAGCCGCCAGAAGATGCAGATGACTTGATCGACCTCAACTTGCTGTTCTCGACCCTATTCATTGTTGAAGAAACATTGCAGCAGGATCCTGAGGACACTGCAGACAAAAACGCCTTGAGTCTATAATGCTGGATTGCATAATGTGTTATTGTTGTCAGTTTTTTGGGTCATTTATCATATAATTCCTTTTCTTTAGTACCTAAACCTTTCACAATTTAGTGAGTTGCTATTCACTTTTAGTTCTTGACTGTGTGTGTGTGTGTGTGTGTGTGTGTGTGTGTGTGTGTGCTCGCGCCTTTCATTCACAGAAATTTTAGTGCAATATACTAAATTAGCCATGAGTACACTTAGTTAACACAATCTACATTTGTAGATTGATCTTGCTTGTATTATGCTTTTTTCTAATTTTGTTTTGACCTTGAGTTTAGATAAGTTCAAAGTATAAACTCATAAGCTATGCTAAGTTCTGATGTGAGCTTCCTACTGCTTATTCCAGCATCTCAATTTGAAACAAAATCCACAATAAAATCAGATTACAAGTATGAACCAAAATACAGAAATTCCGCAAACAAGGAAGCCACAGAAGCTGCCAGAAATGGAAACAGAAATGCAACATCCTAAGCCCATAATCATTACAGTTGATTCACCTTCATCTCCTATTACACCAACTTCTGCACCAAAGGAAATTGGGACACCTGCTATGTCTGTTTCGCCAACAAACTTTCAAGCAAGCAATGATCAATGTGAGACGACTGAGGTCCAAGACAAGGATCTTGACTTTGATGCACCAGTGGTATTAGCTTCTACCTTGCCTTCTGATTCCAGTGGCCAAGTAAATAACCAACTTCCGCATTCTGCAAAGCCGCCTCTTGAGCGCTTAATTCAAGCAGTATGTCTTTCAATTCTTGTTCTGTTTCACCATTCACCTGTAAGGCACCCTGTGATTTATGCTTTACTTAATCAGAGAAGAGCCAAGTATAATCAGAGATGCTTATCTTTATCTATCAGGTGCAGCGTATTTCTAAGGAAGCTCTGAGGAGTTCCATGGATGACATTGCCTCGGCCATGAGTGCTGTGAATAACTTGCCCGCGTATGCAATTGATGTTGATTCACCAGCAGTATATTGTAGTACTGGTGATGGATACACATCCTGTAAAAAAATGAAACGTGACATAAATTCAGTGAGAGGGGTTGTGTCAGCCTTGGATAATTATGGTTCCTGCAGAAAAAAGTTGAGAAAGGAGGTATAATACACTTTCCTGCAGCATAGTTTAGCATGAGCAAATAGTATGGTTTTTAGTCATAGACAAGATGTATGTTCTTTACAGCAAAATCATCTTTGAACTAGAGTTTTGAGGCCTTATAAATGTCTGTAAGGTTCTTGGAAAGCGCGTGCTTATGCTGTTTCATAATCTCTCAACTTTGTGCAGGTCAACAACGACTTAATGGATGAAATCAGACAGATAAACCAGAGACTTATTGAGACAGTGCTAAAAGTAGATTGTGATTCTGATTCTAGTAACGATGAGACCATCATCAAATGTACCTATAAACCTGTGTATTACAGTGAAAGTTTTAAGAGACATTTTGGATTTATGGAATCAGTATGTTTTTTCATTCTCCGCTCACAGCTGTGCTTTGTTCTTGTATTTATTATATACATACTCATTAGATCATCGTTTTTGCTATATGGAATAATCACTTTTGGTTCATTTAGCCGACCCCCACTTATGATGGCGACTTTTCACATTTAACTTGCAGATCTTGACTCTTTCAATCAAGATTCTTGTTCCTTCTAACTACCCTAACACTCCACTTAAGATCTTAGACAGGGTACCTGACGAATGCTGGTGAGTGAATACTTCCTCCGTTTTTATTTTAATGTCATGCTTGAAATGTGTATCATGACTAATAAATTAAAGTTGGGTTTCGATGAATTTAACTCAAATTGGCTATTCTGTTTCAGTAAAGAGACTAAAGACTTGTTGGAGAAGGCAAGAGCTATATTTGACAGGCGCCTTAAAGGTCTTGTGTCACTAGGACTAGGAGACATGGCTCGAGCTTGGAATGATTGTGCTCGATCGGTTATTTCCGACTATATAGTTAGTCATGGAGGAGAAACTTTCAGCTCTAAGTATGGCACCTGGGAGTTTGTTTCACCAGATTAATGAAATTCTATGTAGGAAAACAAAAGTGAGGAAATTCTGCTGCTAGTTGAGGGCCTTGAGGCTATCATAGGATATTACTGCCTTGTTTCTATCTTGTGAATAATATGCCAACATAAAAAGTAAATACTTGATGTAAATATACACATAATAAGGTAGGTCTATCACTTTGCTTCTAAATAAAACTAGGACATGCATCATGTATTCATGTATACTCCTTACTTGACTTGTGACTATATGGTTGTTAAAATTTGTCAATGTGATATAATAGTTTTAACAAAAGTATATGTTCCTTACTGTTATTGTTTTGTTTGTAGTTTTATACTCGTGACTCTTTTGTTTGTTTTCTTTGAAATTGAAATCTTTCGTTTGAAGAGTGGAAAACTTCAATCATCAGCATTTATCATAACAATAATTCATATATGTGAATAAAAAATATAATCATGTGAAATTTGTTAAATTTCAACACAAAATTAAATGTAGGGTCAAATTTTTATAGTAATAAATAATAATTGTATATTTCATAAATTTAGTAGTTAACACAGTTTTATAAAGGATGTTTTTCAAAAATTCATGTCATATATTCTTATTGATTATGAGAAATCGAGGTAACGTGACAACTAATTTCAGACAAAAGCGACACTATAGCAAGTATTTGGATTAGCAGGGGTACTCTGGCTTACATGATTGGGCAACTTGTAAAAGATATAGAGCTGACTCAAAAGCTAAGTCAATAAAGTCGGCCAGTCAACTCCAATATTGACCACCTTTAAATGCCAAATCACACACATCAATCTTCTTTGAAACTTCCTCATCTACTAATTGTGTGTGTATATATAGTAAAGAAAAGTTATAGTATATGATGCAATCATCAAATTTACTCAATATCAAACTATCAAATTTAGAAGAAAATTATGGCTAAGCAAGATGATCAACTCAACCAATCCAACCTTTCGATTCTGACGGTTCGATCCCACGACTGATGTAGATGATCTGATGGTATGGGCAACAGATGATCAAGTGACACAATTTTGTAGCTGGGACACCTACACTTCTAAGGACCAAGCTATTGAGTACATAAACAACTTTGTCATAAATCATCCTTATTATAGGGTAATATGCCTTAACAATAGGGCAATTGGTGCTATTTCTGTTACATGTAACACAGGAAATGATAAGTGTAGGGGGGAGTTGGGTTATGTCTTGGCATCAAAGTATTGGGGCCGAGGGATCGCTACGTGGGCGGTGAAGGCGGTGAGGTGTACGATATTCGAGGAGCGGCCGGAGTTGGAGAGGCTAGAGGCTCTTGTGGATGTAGAGAATAAGGGGTCACAAAAGGTGCTAGAGAAGGCTGGGTTTTTGAAAGAGGGTCTTTTGAGAAAGTTTTGTATTCAGAAAGGGAAGACTCGTGATATGGTCATGTTTAGTTTTCTTTCTACTGATGTTCCTCAAATGTAATTGTCATTAATTCAACATCAATTATTGTAATTTTGTACCAACTTTAATACTAAGTCTTCATATTTATGAATACAACAATTATTACATTTTGATTGCCATTTATTTATTTATTTATTTATTTTGAGATAGAGAGTCGCAAGGACAATAATGTAGACGGAATTCAATTCCATGTCTTGAATATCACCCTTAATACTTTAACCAATTAATCTAGTTGGCATCCACAATTCCTTCTTTTTAAGAATATAAGTTGTTATCACTTCATATTTTCCTTATTTTGTCAAAAGTCAACATCACATTAGAATTTTTCCAACTAAATTAATTCTAATAAATGTTCATGCCTAAAGTGGTTTTTCATATAATAAATTTTTTGTTTCATAATTTTTGTGAAAAATAATAAGGATCACTCGTATTTACTTTGAAAACTAAATAAAATTTTAGATACGGAGTACATATCAACTACTTCTTCACTAAGCCTTTGTAAAAAGTACATTTTTTTGGGCAACTATTGAATTGAGTGATGTGGTGTGTATTCCATAGCCATTTATCCACTTTGAGTAGCTTATTTATATAGATCAATACATTACTACATACTATGTGACATTCGACAAAGTTTTTTTTAAAGGTAATAATTAAAGACTAACACACTAATTTTCTTATTCGGATCACCATAAAAGCAAAAATATGGACGATAATTTATGTCATATCTTAGATACCAACCTCAAAACTTTAAACAAAACTCGTATCGTCCATGAATAAACATACAGAGTACGCAGTAAAAGAGATTGAGATATACTGTTTAAATACGACCCTGCTGTTTTAATCCTCTTCCCTCCAATTTCTTGCTACAGTTCTCGGCATTTCATCTTCTTCCTTCCTTCTTCTAGTGAGAGACCAACGTTCTCCTTTGTTAACTGGTAATGTATTCCTTTTCTTTCGAATCTTCGCGTATACGCTAAACTCCATTGTTGCCCTGTATAAAAGCTAATTCTTCAAGAACTGGTGAATTTTTGGATGAAATCCTCTGTTTTTCTCAATTTCTTTATGTGTAAATCATCAATCAAAATCTAGATGAAACCCATTAAATTTCTTTGTTTTTCAATTAAAACGCCTGCTTTTTCTCTACCAATAATATTTCTCAATTAAATCCCATTAAATTCGTTTAATTTCACCATCATCATCATTTTACTTCACCATTAATACTCTGTTTTCTTGGATTTTTTTTTAAATGTATTTTTATTACAGTACATGAATAATTACTATAAATTTTGTGGGTATCATTGTTAATCTTATTTCTTGATTCAAGTTCTTCAATTAGTAGATAAAAAAGACGTTCAATTATCAATTTTGAAATCTTGGGAGGTTTTTGTCGTGGAATATTGTTGCTTGATTAATGACAAGTTTATAATTTTGGCGAATAATTGGACAATCTCTATGATTTCTGTAGACTATATGAAATAATTGGAAAATAAAACTCATACAAATATGTATGTAGAAATCTTTCCCTTCGTTTAATTTCATTTTAATTAGCAAAAATCGGCATTTTGTATCAAATTTTATGGATGGAACACTGATCTTGCATAGTTTTCTTTGCCAATTTCATAATAGAAGTAAATCCTTATTGTTTGTTGATAGCAAATCACAATTCTTGCTTTGTTTTTGATGCAATATTTTTGAAATGCATAATAAGTACTCTGTAGAATACTTTTTTTTTATATATAAAATAATGGTACACAGAATTTAGAATTTCTGACTGAGTTTGCTCACTTAATTACAGCATCTTAATCTGAATTACAATCTGAAACCAATTAGTCATTCATACTCTAAAATGACACCACCAACAATGCCACATCAGCTGCCAGAAGATGAAGATGACTTCATCGACTTGCTGTTCTCGTGCCCATTCATTGTTGAAGAAACCTTGCTGCAGACCTCGAGTCACAATTGTAACTCTACTGAAGTTACTCTGCTTTCTGCAGTCATCACCGAGCCTCCAGCGACAGCTCTCACACCGTATGTTTTGGATTGTGAGGTCACTTGGCCAGCCTCAGTTCCGGAGTCTACTGAATCTGGTGTTCTTGAAGTTACAGTTTCGGTGCAATACGATTACACAAGTCCAGAAGCCAACTTGTTTTCAGAACCTACAGAGAGTGCTACTGAAAGCGCCTCACAACAAGAGGTACACTTTATTACACTTAACCTGCCTTTGAAGTTTTCACAAACCATCCTAAAATACAATTATCAACATGCCATGGTAAAATGACAAAAAGCCTCTACAATTGAATATCTGCAAATAACATTTAATAGCGCATATTGTGATTCTACATCATTTACTACAATTGGTTGTTAAGTAAGAAAAGCTATAAAAGAGGGTTATTTTAGGGAAAACTCTCATTAGAAAAGCATAATTGTTCACCCTGTGTTTACTGCCTCATCTACATGATGCCATGATCTATGCAGTCCTGTTGAATGTTTAACAAAATTTTCGCCTTCCATGTACAGTTGAGTTCTAAGGAAGCTCATACCTGTTCAACGGATAACAATACCTCAGCCAAAAATGATACAGATGATTTAGCTGAGTCTCCAATACTACAAGAGGTACACTTTATTACACTTATCCTCCCTTTGAAGTTTTCACAAACCATCCTAAATTACAATTATCAGCATGCCATGGTCAAAGGACAAAAGGCCTCTACAATTGAATATCTGCAAATGACATTTAATAGCGCATTTTGTCATTCTACGTCATTTCAATTGACTTACAATTGGTGGTTTAAGTAAGAAAAGCTATAAAAAGAGGGTTATGCATAATTGTTCACCCTGTGATTGCTGCATCATCTGCATGATGCCATGATCTATGCAGTCCTGCTGAATGTTTAACAAATCTTTTGCCTTCCATGTACAGTTGAGTTCTACTGAAGCTCATACCTGTTCAACGGATAACAATACCTCAGCCACAAATGATACAGATGATTTAGCTGAGTCTCCAATACTAATTCAACTAGAGGACTCTGGTACTCCTAGCACATACATGTCAATGAGTTCGGATAGTCATGATTCCTACACAGAAGAGACTAAAAATGAGGTAAGGCATACAATATTTCCAACGACTGTACATTGTATGTTCTAATAAGATGCTTTTAGCCAAACCAAATATGTATGTACTACAAGGATATACATTTAGAAAGACTTAAATGATGAGGCTCTACAGATATTTGAAAAACTTAAATCAATGATGGTATGGAGTTCAGATGATAAATTAAGATTTTCCATTCTTGTAAGTGATGAACCTATATGTATGCGCCAAAATTTTTACTAATGACATGATCATTTCTTGATTGCATGAGTTTTGCTGCAGCCAAACCAAAAATTACTTGATGATATCAGAAAGATAAACAATAACCTGGGCAATATTGTACTTGAAGTGGATTCTGTCTCATCTTCTGCTTTTGGGGCCATGAACAAGACTGTTGTGAGGTGTTCCTATAATCCGATAGCTTTCTCCAGTGCAATCATGAAGCAATTTGCATCCTCGATACCAGTATGTCCTTTCCTCTTCTTCTTGAAGATGTCTGATGAAATTGTCATCACATTCATACACCTACTCACTAAATCATGGCTTTATTTATATATATTGCAGCCAGGAGCTATTGCAATAGAGTTTCTTGTTCCCTCAGATTATCCCGATTCTCCTCCTCAGATCTTAGACAGGCAGCCAGTTGGATATAGGTGAGTAAAAGCTTCAGCTCCTTTTGTAAAGCCGTGCTTGATTGGAATGATGACAACGGGAATTTATTAACAAATTTAACATATTGGTTGTTCTGTTGCAGTAAAGAGGTTAAAGAAATGCTGAAGGAAGCAAAGTATAGATTTTACAGCTTTGCTGAAGGCCTGGAGAAACTGAAAGAGTTGGCTGGTGCTTGGGATCACTGCGCTTGGTCAACTTTCTATGATTTTTCCCATAAGCAAGCAGAGAAAGGACTAACAATCAACGAACAGATCAGCACACTTGCAACTAAGGAGCATTTTGCAGAGCAAACCATTGTTTGATCAATCATGCATGTAACAACAGGATGGCAGATCAATCACTCAGTTACTCGATTATTACAAGTTGGGTTGGATACAATCTAGAATAAGCTTGTTACAATCATACAAACTCCCAATTTAGAATTTTTTTGTGAGATTTGGATATAGTAAACCAATACTCGTACTTTGTTTTACCAGCCGAGCCTTTTTTACTTCTAATAATGGCTCTAAGAATCGTGCTTTCAATCATCAAATACATTTAATTTCTCTTATTAACATTGCAACACAACTCTATCACATACATTTCAATTCGCTTATTAATATTGCTACACAACACTGCCACATACATTTCAAATTTCTTACTAATATTGCTACACAACTCTATACCACATACATTTCATATCACTTATTAATATTGCTACACAACTTAACCACATACATTCCAATTCTCTTAGTAACTACACAACTCTACCACCACATACATACTCAAATCTCTTATGATCTCACCCACTCATCGGATACATATCAACACTCTAATATCACGAGTTCGCAATCATTAGTTAACAAATAAATGATCCCCTTTTCATTGTAAGTCCTCTAATCATACTAAACTTGCAATATTTTACATGAGGCTAATTTTTCCCTTTAATTGCACCTTTTTTTTTGGTATATTCATCACCTATTACATTTATATTCACCATTTGACACAACCAATATATTGAATTATTTGTCTTGTAATCTGATAATCTCATCATAAAACCTTAATTATTAGTTAACATTCAATCACCCAAAAACCCTAGTCCACTGAATAAGTTCTCTAACATTCTAATCTAGCCATTTCAACAAAATTTGCAATTTTTTTTTCTTAAAAGTATCCAATTTTCCATTTTTATGGAATTCTTGTTCATGTTAAAATTGACATTCATACAAAAACATCAGATTTCTTTATTCTTCAAGATGAAATGTGCATGAATTGGGATCAAATAATTAACAAATTTGACATGAATCCAACAATACATGAATTGGGAAATGGAGTGAGTAAGAGATACCTTAGATCTCCATAATATTTGCTTCGAATTCGTGGCAATATAACCCTCATCGCTGATGTTGAAGCGCGCCCGCCAATTCCCGTTGGGCTTCCTAACATAGTCGCATTCTAAAAAGAAAGAGTACTTAAAAAGAGTGTGGACTACGGAAGGTCGGAAGTACTTAAAATTGACTCATATTCGATTACACGAAATACGGAAATATTAATTCAACAGAGTACCCGATTACACAAACTTTAATGAAGTAGTAGTACAAACTACAAAGTACTTGACCCGATTTGAATGACACCTAAAATAACTTTAAGGATGTTTTTAGATTTTAACACTTGATAAAATCGAGAAAATGGATTTTAACACCTCTTAAAAAATAAGATTTATTTTAACACCACATAGAAAAATTAAAATTAGAAGTACTTTGTACTTTGTAGTACAAACTACAAAGTACTTGATCCGATGTAGATGACACCTAAAATAATTTTAAATAAGACTGTTTTATAAAGTTGATAAGATATTTGGGTTTTTTTTTTTTTCCAAATATCCAAAAAATTTAATAAGTTGTTGCAATGTTACTTAATACTCCGTAGTTTAGTGTTAATAATATATTTATATTAAAAAAAATGAATATTTCGAATGTCTTGAAAATTTTAAAAGGCGGTTTAAATTCAATCAAAATATTTCTAATATCCAAACCATCCAAACTTTCAAAATATAAAAATATGAACCGATTATCCAATATCTCGACTAGGATCAAGGCCAAGATTAGCTCAATTATTTGTTTGCACCTACGGACTAGAGGTAATCAAGATGGGTCCAACTTTGGATAGGTTATGGCCCGCAAAAATTAAACTTATTTTTTGGGCGAGCCATGGAGAACCATCAATTATATTTTTAGTTGTTTTTTTTTACGGTCCGAAATGACCCGAAAAATCCAATAGTTAAATTAATATTGGGGTTGTTTGGTTGGAGGTATTCATCAAAGGAAATGGGAATCAACTGCTATCATTCCTTTTGTTGTTGTTTGTTAGGCTATTTTTCCCTTTCCCTTTACCCTCTTCATTCCCCCAAATTCTTCCAAGTTGATTCCCCACCTCCCCCTAGGTATTTCTATTCCCATCCCCTAACCACCCCAACAACACCATACCACCATCCTACTACCCACCTAAACCACCGTAAAACCCAGCCACTGCATCGTCACTCGTCCCCCACCCGTCACCGCACCTCCCCGCGCCCTCACAAATCTCCCTTCCCGGCTAGGGTTTTGAGGGTGGTGGGAAGGCTCGTTGACGGTTTTAAGTGGAGAGGGAGTTATTTTTAGGGTTTTGCTGGGCTAGGGGAGGTTTTTTATGGGGAGGGGAAATCGGTGAGGGAACAGAGACTCGGAGAGCGGCCAGGGGCGGCGAGTGGTGGAGTGGCTGGGTGGTGGTAGGAAATTGTGGAAAGTGAAGCAATGTGGTGGTGGATTGGTGGCAGTATTTCCTTTGTTATTCAAAACAAACACAAGGCAAAATTGGGGGATTTTCATTCCATTCCGATTCTTTCCTTTTGTTCATTCCATTCCGATTATCCCGTGCGAACCAAACGGCCCCTTAGAAGTTTAGAAAAAACAATTTCAGCCAAAACCTTTGGCCTAACCCTATTGGGCTGATTTTTTTGCCTTCAGCCCATCCCAGCCCATAATCACCTCTACTATGGGCCTATCCAAATTACCCCTTAGTGAAAAATAATTGGAAAATTAAATAAATATCCTTAATTATGCACAAATATTACCTCAGCCCGAAAAGTATCCTTAAATATCGTGTATATATATAGTTGAAACTCCTCAGTCTCCTCACTTCTACCTATTTCCCCTAGACAAAACCAGAGAAACTCACAACTCTCGTATTTTTTTTTCGCCGCAAATCAAAAAACCAATGTTGTTGTAACCAACAATTATAATCTAGGTAAAACCCTCGTTAAAGTAATCATTTTTATATTAATATACTTGAATTTGTTAATAGTTCATCAATAAAAATTGTATCTTTTTAAATTAATAATGTTAAAGTATTAATTTTTTTGCAGGGTGTAAAATATGGTTGAAGATAAATCAATGGAGGCCAATAATGATCAACCCAATGGATTGACTATTGATTTCCGTCGGAAAGTGTTTAACATGTAAATACATTAATTATTTTATTTTTCTTTAGAAAATACTTTAATTAAATTATTTAATTAATAGTTTTTAATTATTTTGATTAATTATAAATTTCTTGATTATTTTCTTAGGAAATTGTTTATATGAATGCTTGATTTTCAATTACTTCATTCTTTTCTACATTGTATTTTTTTAATTTTGGGGTTTCGCCCTACGATTTTATTTTTGTTTAAGTTTTATGAATTTAGTTTAACTAAATTTTTAAAATATTTTGTAAAATTCAGGTTCGTCAAGAAAGTGATAGAGTTGGGAAACAACCCTACTGACCCCAGTTACAATGTTCGACTTAGAAACCAATCTCTCAATATCGAGGCGGGAATATTTAAGAAAGCAACAAATAGGGTACGCGTGTTTTTACTAATTGATGGTATTCCTTTAGTTCGGAATTAATAGTCTTAAAGTTCGTATATAGTAGTATTTAATTATCTTCGATACATGTATATTAATAATTTAATATTCATAAATTGTCCAAACAAGGGATAAAAGTGACTGATTAACCAGATTTTTATGTATAAGGTTACATACTTACATTAGTATGTGCACTCGATAGTTAGTGAAAATTTAAGATAAAATTGAGTAATTTGTGCGTTTGTGTTGACTCAGTGAGTGTTGACTCAATGAGTGTTGACTTTTTAAGTATTACTCAAATTTACTTCCTGCTTCCATTTTTTATTTATTTATTTTATTATGCAGGATGAATATCTGGATATGATCAGGAATAAGCTGGACACCTTAGAAAAAAAAAGTAAAACACCCACATCAGGTAAGAGTATAAAATTAACGAAATTAATCTTAATGTGATTTGGAGTGACTAAGATTATTCTTGTATAGAATACATCCATACACCCGTTGAATACAAGTTTTAACGTGTTATATATATTATGATATATGGTTGTTAATTATGGTCATATCCCGTTTAACAAATAAAGTAGTCTTGTAATTGATACAGGTTTAATATCATACTAGATTTGATATAACAATTGAATTTTATCATCCAGGAAATCCATTGAGGAGTAATGTGATTCAGACACCAGTAGTTCATGCCAATCAGTCTGCACAACCAATCTACAATGCCAGTTCTTCTCTGCTTTCGTTTCCAAGTACTTCACATCCGATCCAAGCATCACAGATGATGTCCATGCCTGCTGCAGTGCCAACAATGCCTCAAAGGAACACACCTATGCAATCGACAGGTTTACACCAGTTCCAGCAGGGTGGAGCATTTGAGAGGCAGAATGTTCCTCAGAGAGACACGCTCCAACATCCATTAGTGCAACATAGTAGGCCAATAATAAACGAAAGGAGGCTGAATATAGGAGGCTATCAACAACAACAACAACAACAACAATCACAGCCTCTTATAAGTTCGATGGTGATGCCATTGGAGCAGGGGACTAGATTTCATAATACTACTGGTGTACAAAAGTCCTACATGCCAAGTAGTCCTGCTGGTGTTCAAAATTTTGATGTTTTTCAGTCACAAACATCGCCTGCACAAACTCCATCATGTAAGATATCAATCAATATGTTATCTTTCTTAGTATATATTTCGCAAATTTATTATTTATAGTTGTAACTTTGTAGCTATCTATCTCACAGTTGTTATCGAAACCTCATTTTCTTTCATTCTTGATTCTACAGCATCCTTTCTTGATGCTGGAGCAGTTAATGCAGCTGATTGGAAGCTTCTCCTGATGGAGGTAAAGCTGTTTAAAATCTTAATATACTTATGAAGTTGTGAATCATTTCAGATTCCCTTTTATCATGGATCAGTGTGTATCATATTTGTTCGATAAGTTTCCTTGACAAGTAGATATACATAAATCAGTTTCAAAGGAAACTTGATTCTGTTGACAAAGAAATAACAAGTTTTTTTGTTGAATTGAATAAACTTTTCAAAAGTTTCTATAACATTGTAGCAGCATGAATTTTCATTGAACACAAACCTTTAAATTTTTTTGTGGGTGTATTGCAGTATCGCCAAGCAAAGATGGAGTACTTACCTGAACTAATTAGTATGCTTAAAAAAGCAAAGGAAGATTGTGCAAAGGTATATTCAGCTATTAGTCAGTGTTCTTGTTTTGCTATACATTGTTGTTTCTTTTATCTTTTCTCCGAAGTTGCTTAATCTCTGTGCCCTAAAGCAATGTTAACAACTGGACATAAGGTGTACTTTGTATGGTTTTTGTTTTTGTTGTTTCGATTAGTAGAGGCACTCTCGATTTTCTAATGCTTGTATCTGTAAATCGATCTTTAATTTGTTGCAGGTGCAAGGTGTGATTCAACATGAAAAGGCCAAATACCTCAAGAATTGTGAATTAATGATCAGATTTCTGCAGTATTCTGAAAGTGATCTTACTTGCTTTCCTAAAGACAGAATTTGTAAAAATTTGAGTACAATTACACATTTCTTCAACTGTATGAAGAACCAAGCACCAAAAGCAGTCTCAAATGAACGGATTTCTGTAAACCAACTGCAAAATACTCCATTGGTACAGCATGGAGCCCTTGCTAGCAAAAATGTGTTTCCGCAATCACCATTTGATGCTCCGATTTCTTATGGTCTTATTGCACCAAAGCAGATAGACATGCAAGCTGTGCTGAATAATGGCTCTCGGGGTACTAAGGAACAAAATTCTGTGAGTATATCATGCTTAGCAGTATAAGTATTATCGATCACAAGTTGAGCTGAGCTTGATTTATCTTGAGCTAAACTGAACTTGAAAATCATTGAGCTCATAACTTTCTGCCTGCCATAGAAATATCTTACCTGTAAATTTTCTTATCGCGATTTCCTTAGAATGGCATCTGAAAAAACAACAGTTTAGAAGTGTTTTATCAAAGGACAAACTGAATTCTGACAGATTTCTTGGCTTATTTCAGCCTCTTAATTTGAAGCGAAATTCAGAGCCAATGCAGCCATCAGATATGGATCGACCTCTGAAAAAACAGCAATTAAGGAAGCCAAAAGAGAAAGACATTATGGATTCGATGTTTATGCCCTCAACCAAACCTAAAAGAGGCCGCCCAAAATCTACCAAACAGCCTCCGTTGCAGAAAAAGAATACATCATGTGTTTCAGATCCTAGAGCAATGTCACAGAATGTGGCCTCGATGGCTGCAGCTGATTCAGCTCCAACTCCAGCAACACCGTCTTCTGTACCTAAAGATACTGAGGTGCAAGTTAAGTTTGCTTCCATTGTAACATCATCCGGAACAATAACTTCCTTACCAGTTTATTCAGCTACAACTCCAATAACACCATCTTCTGCACCTAAAGAAATAAGAGAGCTTGCTCAGTCTGTTTCACCTAATGAGATTGGAGCAATAGCAGCTGCACGCGATGCTGAGGTGCAAGATAAGTCAGCTTCACTTGTAACATATGGAACAATAACTACACCTTTACCATCAGATGGTGCTGCAGAAAGCAGCCAGACTCCACAATCTGCAATGCTGCCTATTGATCGCTTAGTTCGTGCAGTATGTCTGTTTAAATATTACTCTTTAATTTATACTTTGTTATTCAGAAATCTGGTCCTCCGTTAACTGATGTTTAACACATTTATATTACCTTTCAGGTTCAGAGAGTATCTAAAGATACTCTGAAGAGAGCCGTAAATGATATGTATTCAGCCATCAACGATATGGACAGGTTACCCAAGAATGCAAGTTTTGGTGCTGATGAATCTAATCCATTTATGGATGATTATGAAGAATATGATCCTATAATGGGTTATCTTATTGAAAAATGAAACGTGACATCGATGCATCAGGCAGGGATAATCGTCGACCTAATAAAGTGGTGTGCTATCAACTGTAGATTGTATGGTCGCTTGGAGATGGCGTTTACTCATAGTCGTCCACACTCCACCCCATCATAAGTTATATACAAAACTGTGTTTGGAATTTGTATGCTACATTATTTTAACCTCCCACAATTGAGGTTATGACATGATTTAACTAGCTGTACTGTGTTATTTCTATCAATTTATCAGTACAGATTCAATATCAAGTAAATTAAAGGATGTATTGAAATTCTTCAATCCTAAACATTTTAGGAAATTATTAGTTCAGTTCAAGTTACATTCTTGTGAAGCATATTAATACCGCGTTTCTATGCATAAATATCTGTTTATGTTGCTTGCTGGTTTCTTGATTCGATGCATATCCATAGCATCCTAACCATGGCCTTGTAGGGACTGAAGTTAAAGAGATAAACAAGAAATTGATCGAGGGTCGGGTAGAAATAACTTCTACAGTTCTACTGATCTTGATTCTGAATCTAGTAAAGGGACAGCTGTTACTCGTTAGGTGTCTTATATGACCCTCAGTGAGAGTTTAAAGAAACGACTTGCAATCATGTCGTCTGTAAGTCCTTTCTCATTCAACTCAGAAATGTTCTCAAGTTTCTAATATATTTCTCGAACACAAGAAACAGGGAAATTTTGTGCATATAGACAATTCTGAGAGCTCTAATATTACAATAGCCTCCTTTTGGACCATTATCTTTGATAACCAAAAACACGTGCTTTAATTTTAATCTTCGATAACTTAACCAAATTATCTTTCATTCAACTCATGGATTCCGAGTTCTGACCTCTCTTGCAACGCGATTATGGTTGCAATGGATCGACAGATTGATTTCCCCCCTACATACTTTAGATTATCTTGCACACGCGTTATGAATAAGTAATTAATTTTATTGTTTTTCCCCCTGTAGTTTAGATTGCAGAGGTCAGACTTGAGCTAATGTGCAGTAGTTCAATGAAGAAGATCGAACTTGTTTTTTCCTCGACAATAGAGTAACAACAATATAATCTTCCATTGCTGCAACGATTCCAAATTCAAATTCAATTCATTTCATTATCTTTCCCCCTTTTTCCACATTTATTTCATCATACCCAAAAATAATTTGTAATTCTCAACTGAAATCCACTTAGAGCTTTAAGCACGAAAGAGTAACAATTCATAGCAAAGCTTTGATTTGATTCAAATGCTCATCATTTCTGAATCAAGATCTTGTTTGGAATTGAATATACAAGGATTTACTTTCCAGGACTCAAACCCAAATTATAAGCAAACCCTGTTTTCTGTTCACACATCCTCAAAGCTTTCCCAGAAGTCAGCCTTAAAGCAGCCAAATGAAGAAACAAAAAGAGAATAAGATTTGAATAAATTTCTATTGAATCTTCCAATCCTAGTATCCTAATAAACAAAATTTTCTTTTAACATTATCTAATGACTTGTCATACTACTGTCAATAACTGAATACTAGTATACAAGAGAACTGTGGCCGGGAGAATCACATTGCCCATATAATTCTTCAAATCGTGACAGTGACCTCAGCTCAGCATCAGCATACATCTGTGGAGAAGACTATATCAGGGTGAAAGGACTCAAAATCTGATGAAAGATCCAAACAATATATAATCCTGAAGGCTTACAAAAATGTGTTTATCCGGTGTTAGAGGCAGTGGCTGCAGAGGCAACAGATGCAACTAAACCAATTGACTACAGTCAGCTCCACCAGCAATTAAGAATAAAACCTCACCATTTGTCATAGGGAGAGAGAGAAAGTACAGGTCTTTCATTATACACCAGCATTGACTGGAGAGGAATGTCTTAAACTCTCACAGCCCGGGCAATTATGCAAACTTTCATGAATATAAATGTCACAATCAATGCAGAAATACTTTTTGCATTTTGGGCATTTAACACAGTAAATGGATCCAGTCCCTGCATGAACCAAATTAATTTGTAAGAAAATCAATAAATAAAAATCATCTCACTAATAAAAAATGCTTTTTTCTGAAGAACAGAGCAACAAACAGCTAAAGCACGACTACAAGCTTACTGACTGCAAAAGGATTTCCGGCCTTTTTAATTCCATTGTCATATCTACTGACAAGTGAAATGTACCACTACTATCATTAAAGATCAGCACAAGTACTCATCAGGTACTATCAGATACCTCTATTTAGTAGGCTAACTCCACCACAGGCCCCCCATCTTACATAGATTTCTTACTAGATATGGTGATTTGAAGTGTTTTTCCTGCCTACTGAAAGATAGTGCTTACTCCCTCCTTATTTTATTACTTGCCCCACTTTCCTTTTGCGACCGTATTTTATTACTTGCTCCTTTTTTTTTTTTTTTGAAACTTTTAATAATATTTTACTATTTTCATCCCCACTAGTAATAATATTATACTATTTTTTTTTTTGGAAACTTTTAATAATATTTTACTATTTACTGCCCACTAGCTTACTTTCTACTATTCCTGGATTTCCTCCTAAAACTTCGCACAAGGAGAAATGGAGCAAGTAATAAAATACGGAGGAAGTAATAAGCAAGACTAGAAAACAACTTAGTAACTTACAATCAACTTTATTATTAGATAAATCAGAGGAAAGATCAGGTGGACAGCTTGACAAGACTTTAAGCTGCCAGAGCACTTGCTATCAATCAGCTGAAGATCCCAGATCAAAAGTACTTTACACACTTTTAGACATTCAATTTTGCATCTAGCCAATAAGATTCCTCTCGAACGGAAAATATTGTCAGATTATTTCACTCAGACCAACACCATTTACTCCTGACTCAAATCACAAATCATCTCTTATTTCCCAGAAACACAGCTTCAGTTGATCAAATTGATGCATTCAATTTTCAACCCCTGGAAGAAGTCATGCACTGCATCTGGCAACCAAATCCGATGACATAACTCTATCAACGACATACCTTCCCCACCCCTCCCCCAAGTCCCACAGCAGTAGGGTCTTAATGCTCCTACTCTATATCAATCCCCAAATGGTTGAAAAAGTCTCAGTTAATGTTCCTTTATCTTTCACTTAGTTCAGTTAACAAGACAATTATCAAAATACTCCCTCCATGGTTACATATTCTATTTTGGGTGTCACCTTTCTTTTTTTGGTGTTCCACCTGATTCACCCTTTGGGCTAATCCGGATTCAAGGATCAGTTCTGGGTGGTTAGGTTCAAGTCCTCTCCCAATTGCTGTTGTAGGGGATCGAACATTACGGTCCTCCCTACCAAGTGTAGTCTCACACACCACTACACCAATAGCTAATTGGTGGGTGTCACCTTTCTAAGGTTACATTTCTTAAATTTCCTAAAATAGAATACTAACTTCACACTTATATCCCCACATATTCACACTCCCAATACATTTACCATAATAAAACCTACTTTCAATGTAACTATTCCCATCTACCAAAACATTTGCATATTTCCAAAGCAACTATTTCCATTTATCAAAACATTTATCCACTCCCAAAGCAAATATTTCCATTTATCAAAATATTTACCTACTCCCTAAACAAATAGTCTAATTATACATACTCCCAAAGTCTTTTTCTTATTACCCATTTAAAAAACCAAACATAACCATAGAAAAGTGACGGAAGGAATACATGTTTCTAGACTTTGAGGCTTTCAAATCTGTTTATAATACACAAGCAATACTCTATATTTTGGCAGTTTACAATTCATAGAATTTAGATTAAGCAAAAAGAAGGGATTGAGAAAATTTTGAATCAGGATCCAGCCTCACCACTTATCGGGGCTAATATAAGAAACAAGTAATGTGTGACAGAAAGAGAAGGGATAAATTGCCAAAATAATTCGTAAATTTCATACTGATTAATATAAACTAGAATAACTAAATTAGAATAACAAGGCTAATAAGTAGCCATCTACAATATTCCAGGAAATTTTAACAATTAGATGCTAGACCAGTTTGCAATGACTCCTTTTCTGAAAAAGATAGACTCAACTTGTTTCCAAAATTCACCTCACAATGATCTGATGGTCCACCAGATCCTAGTCCACAGGACATGAGGACATATAATATGGCTTTTCCCTCCACTTCTAATTGTTACTCATTTTCTCCATCTGCTCAGTGTGGAAGCAGTTTGTGTATATTACAAAATACAAACTTTATAGAGATTCCCACCTAACACACTAGATTTAGAGACTTTACTGAACTAAGTATTTACAGTGGAAGGTGGCTACTTGCTGAAAGGGATACATTAAAGTAAATAATTTAATTAGTTTACTAACTTCATAGTGGCCCTATGCTTTTAAAACCATGGTATAGCATAGTCAGTTGAGAGTCTGTTATTGTGAGCTCGACCTCTCAAGCTATTGAAGTTGTAGATGTTATGCAGGACTGGACCTAGAAAATAACCCCAAATGTCCTAACAGTTTGCTTTCAAAGAAAATTCTTGCTCATTAAGATTAGAGTGTCCTAACCATTAAGATCATTAACTTACTGCCATTCACAAGGCAACTAAATTGTTCTGGAACTTTGTTAAACATTCTCTATGCAGTACTTCAAGGCTCTTTTCTCGCCCTTTTTCTATGCATATTTAAATATACTGGATCTTAGAAAGTCATACATGCAATGAGCCAGATTGTGGGTACTGAAGAGACTGTGAACTCCACACTGCTTCAGCATTAGCACTTATGTATTGGACAAATGATAGACATCACATAAGGCATAACACCATCAATACACTAGCTGACTAGCACCATACTCTCACTCTTTTCTATTGCAGAAAGAATATTCAGATAAAAAGATTATGCCAATACATTCCAAGCCAAATATTGACTAGTGTTTTGCTGTTCTATAATGAACGCAACAGTAGAAGCAAATGAATAAATTATTACCCAACCCTACCTCTTAAATCTTGATGCAGTAAGCATTCTAGGAGAAACTGTGCTAGGAAACATTTTATAGAACAGCAAAACACTAGTCAATATTTAGCTTGGAATGTATTGGCCTAATCTTTTTATCTGAATATTCTTTTTATCTGAAAATAATAATAATAAAAAGATAATACTTTGTAAAATAAAGTAATCATTGTCTCATTACCAGACTAAATATCCAAGTGTGCTTCTTCCAACAGACCAATAAGACGTAGGGCTCATGGAAACAGATTCTAAATAGCTTTTAAAGTTTTGACTTTAAAAAAAGGTATAAAAGAAGAGTTTGGTAAGTCAGTGTTTTACTGTGTCTTTTAGAGGTAAAGGTAATGTTTTGGGAAGCTACAAATATATTTTTTGGGGTGTAGGTAAAAATTTGATCCCTTCTTTTTCTATTAATCCAAAAGCTGATTGTATGGATTGAAAAACTACAAAGACAAATTAATTATACTACATACACAACACTTTTCTGACAACTGATATCTTATTGTACACTATAGCAATGTCTATGGCAGGAAAATCAATATAAGTCTAGCTCCCGAATCCTACCACATGCATAACCTAGCAAGATCTTGTTGTACACTATAGCAGGTCATGTCACAAATCACAAAGCCACTAAGACAAGTAATCGCCCTTTTGCTCTCTGAAATACAACGTAAAAATATCAACTAGACAGGTGATCACACTGAGTCACTAAGCAGACAGATTATATGATCATATTACACCAGCCAATCAAACCAAAGGTTGCATTTAAGAAAGAGGGGGAAATCTCAGTCAGGCAACATGATAGCTACATATAATAAACCAACTGAAATCCTAACTTCTTTTGTATGATGCTTACCAGGATTTGTCAAACTCTGCATGCATCCAAAACATGTTTCGAGTGATTTCTGTCCCGCAATATTCCCATTTGAAAAAGACACCTCATCGAAGGGTGTTATTGGAAAGAGATGATGATATGACCTTGCTAAATGGGGAGAAGAAACAAGTGTTAGCCCACATATGCGACATTCTGTGGGCAGCTCACAAACACGAGCCTTGCATCTAGGACAGGTGTATCCAGCACCAACCTTAGCCTCTTTATGACACACACATATTGAGACCACACCTTCCGCCGCTCTTTGTGGAAATCCCATCTTGATCAAGTTAGCAGTTGCATATTCAGCAATGGCTGGAGGTGGTGGTGCATGCTCCAGCAACAACTCTTTCAGATGGAACTACAAGGAGGGAAAACTAATTCAGAGAATAGTACATACATTTTAGAAGAGTATATTATACAATCATCAGCACAAATATCTCCACCATTTCGGCACACAGATAGGATCAATTTCATATCATACAATCTTTCAGTAGTACAACTCACCTCATCCAAAGCAATAGCATATGATCCACCTGTTTCCTGGCATATATGTTTGCAAATAAACATCTCTGCAGAAAGACCTACTATTGAACACCTAATCTTCGACTTTTTGCATTTCTGAATAGTCTCCATTATGTCACCTGGATCACAGGTACTAAGAGCCGAATACAAAATAAGGACTTCGCGATGACCATATGATGGAATTTGATTTAAGCATTCATGAACAAGTTCTAGGGCGTTCTGTAAAGACGCATCCCCTGAACACTCCAACTTCTTCATCAAAGCCATAATATGAGACTCCGGGCTACCACCCATATCCGTTAAGCAATGAGCAATGCCATCTTTAATCCCCACAAGACCAATTTGACTAAGTGGATTCTGGTCAAAAAACTCTCTTACGAAAGCCTCCACATGTTTGGCAACAACGGCCATTCTGCTTGGCTTGAAATCCATCTCTGCAGCTGCCTACAGAGAAGGATTCAAGGTTATAGAGTGAGAATAGAAATATCAGAATAATACAACAATAATGACTGAATGAGTAGCTGCTCAAAAAACAATCTTTTCAATATTTCAATCCCTCACTACACTCAATTACAATCCAAGAGTTATCATAATTTTCCCAGTCATACACTTATCCAACTTAACACTAGTACAAAACTACAAATCAAATCTTTCAACTCATGATCAGCAACTCAATGCTTAAAGCATAAGCTATGGACTTATGGCTAGCAATAATGATTGAATTTTAGTTATAAAGAGAAGACTACATGGTAGGAAACTCATTACCCTGGAGAAATCCATGACAACATAGATATATCGAATAAGACCTTTCTGAATTCGAGCAGAGGTTGAGGTAGACGAGATGGAACGAATACGTCTACGATACTGGGCGTGGTACATCGACTTATTATCAATCGGACGAAGTAGCCCAGACTCATCTTCTTGCAAAGACTCCCATGATCTCTCATCAGTATAGGCTCTCTCCCAAGCAGACATATCATTATCCTCATCTTCATCATCCTCGTCTTCGTCTCGGCCAAGCCGTTTTCCTCTAGTATTGCTAACCTCCCTATGTTCAATGCTGCTCATTATCTAAAACTTAAACTGAAAAATATTCAAAATCAGGTACTTTCATACAAATCATAGTTACCTGACTCCCTAATCCCTTCGAATCAATAAGAAAGGGGGAATTACAGGGAGAAAAATTCCATTTTCATAGTTCCATCCTAACATTAGCAACCAAATTAGAATCAATTATCAAATTACATTATTGTGGCTTAATAATTTGAAAAGCAAAATTCAAGCAATGAAATTTTTGGTTATAATTTTTCAGTAATTACATCCAATAGTTCAATAATCAACCTTAGAAGAACCCTAAATTGATTATAATCTAGCAATGAAATTCTCATTATAATCTTTCAGCGATTATAACCAATGTTTCAATAATCCCCCAACAGAAGAACCCTAAATTGAGTAAATTGAAAAATTGATATTCGATGATTGAATATAAAGACAGGTTTACCTCAGAAGCAGCGTCAATGGAGGAGAGAAAGCTCACAAGTAGACTTCAATGGAGGAGAGAGAAGGAGAGTGCAGTCAGGGCCGTTTCTGAGTTTTTAGGGCCTATGGGCAAATTAATAATTAGGGGCCCTGTAAATTTGGGTGGTTGCGTGATATATTAAGGGTCTGTTTTGTTCCGTTGAAATTCAATTCAATTCAGTTCAGTTCAGCTCAGCTTTTAATTTATGTCTAATGATATTGCTAATGATATAAAGCCAAATTTCATTCTTTTAAGCTCTTATTACAACGACAACATCAACAAAAACAATAAATAATAATAATAATAACAATAATAATTGAAATAATAATACTAATAATAATAATCAATAAATAATAATAATAATCATCAATAAATAATAATAATAATAAATAGTATATGTGTTTAAAATGTTTAGAGGTTTCAAGTTTTTAATATATTTTCCATACATTTTATAATATATTTTCCATACATTTTATAGTTATAATTATATAGTATATTTTTCGTAAATACTTTAATATGTACATTTGTATATACACGTATGTATAGTAATAAATAATCAATAAATAATTAAAGATCACTAATCCGTAGTTAAAAATCACTAATTAATAAGTTCAGTTCAGTTCAGTTCAGCTGAGTTCAGTCAATCGGAACAGGCCCTAAATATACATTCATTTTCCTAAAAACTACACTTCAAAATAGTATTAACTTAAAGTGCAAATTCTCTCCAAAAAAAACAAATAAGATAAGTCCAAATTAAAATGTTTATCTATAAATTCAATAACCAAAAAAAAAAAAAGTCAAAAAGTCCCACTTGATTGTTCTGAAAAAAAAAAACTAAAAAAATAAAAATAAAAAACAGGTTTCTCCTATCCAAAGAATTTTTAAAAGGTTTTTCTAAACAAAAAAAAATTTATAAAAGGTTTCTCCTAGCCAAAAAAAAATTTAAAAGGTTTTTCTAAACAAAAAAGTCACTTTAAAAGACTTTTCCGAACAAATTTTCCAAAAATTTATACCTTTTTCGTCCTAGAACCTCAAAGTATATATACGTTCTAGTTTTATTTTACATAGTTCTATAACATTTCATTTGTTTTTTAAGTGCCTCAAATTGTTACAAAGGGAGAACAGTAAATACGTAAATTGGAAGCGAAGAAAGAAATAGAAAAGAAAATTGAATTAAAAACGTATGACAGGTCTAGAACCTAAAACACAAGGCTTATTAAAGCCCACTACAACAACTTGTAGTAACCACTGAGCTCTTTGCTTATTTCTCACATATTTAAGGAGATTAATTATTATAACTTAGATTTTGATTTAGGGGCCCTAGGCGGGTGCCCCGGCTGCCCCGCCCCAGCGACGGCACTGAGTGCAGTGACCGCAGTGTACACATGGAAAAGTTCCAAAGCGGGGAAATTATTTTGTTTCACGAACACATCTAGAGGGGGCAACGGGTCGCATCTGGATCGGATCCTGCTAAATTCGGATCCAAATCCGTCTTAAGAACACAGATTTGTATCCGAATCCGTGGATTCGAATTTTTTAAATCCAGATTCACAGGTAATTTATGGTTGTGTTTGTTGAATAGTTTAAACTTAAAGGCGAAGCTGATTATGTTAGCTAATTTTGACTAGCTGATTGTATTACTCTTAACTAATTTGACTAACTTATTTATTAGCAGGTTGAATAAAAGTGTTTGGTAAATAGCTGATAGCTTAAACTTGATTAAGTATGTAAAATGACCAATAAGCTAATTGTGGGCCTGTGGGGGTAAGTAGTTTAGGTATGATTTTAAATTAAATGGGGATATAGGTGTCATTTCACCATAAATTAATGAATAAGCTAATTGAAAAAGCTCTTAAAAGGAGCATTTTCAAAAAGAGCTTATTTAGTGGAATAAGCTCTTCAAATAAGCTTCCCACAAAACACCTTAAATTAGCTTATTTAATAGTCAATAAGCTAATATTGATCAAATAAACTAATTTTGCTCAAATAAGTTGTTTAGCAAACACGGCCTATTTTCCAAGTATCTTATAGAAACTTACTACCCCTGTTTATTTAGTTAACACATTTGACTTTGTCGCTATTCACATAATCTACTGTAATTTCGGTTTGTGATTTCTTGCTAAATTTTGACTTTGTTATTCACATAATCTGGTTTATATAGTCATGTAAGATTTTGTTAGGTTCATCTCAATGTCTATTTTCCATGTATCAAAATTTCATATTTTTTGTTAATAGGTAACTAAGCATAATTAAATTTAAAAATTGCGTTGACAAACGTGCCTAAATGAATTGTGTTAACGAATAAAAAAACATAAGAATTATTATTTTAATTTTTTTTGTTAATATTATTTTTTTAAGTTCTCCTAATATATCTACATGCTTAAAATTAAACATTCGTAACAATCGAATACTACATACTTTTTCCGTTTCTTTTTAGTTGCATCACTTTTCTTAAACGAAAGTTTTAAATCAGATACAATACTTTCCTTTTTAATTAATAATATCTCTCCACTCTCCTATCACATGTGTCCATTTATTTTATTCTCTCTATTTCTCTCATCTCCAAATATTTCCTAAGAGTTCGTAATTTGCAAAGTGAAGCAAATAAAAAATATGAGATAAACAAAGTATATAATACTAGAAATACTTATCCATATGTTTATATACGGAGGAAGTCAAATTAATTTATAAATAAATCTTAAATAATACGAGTATCGTAATCAAATAAGAAAAAACGAATCCACGGGTTGAGTTCGAATCTTAAACACAAGATCCAGCTCCAGTTCCGATACATAAAACGAATTTGGATTTGAATTTGAATATGTGGGATTTAGAAATTAGAGATCCAAATCCTATTTTTACAGGATCAAAGATCCATTGCCACCTCTAAATTGTTATAACTCATTATGTAGTCTTCTAACAATGTGTTGGAGCAATCCCACATAGAAATATTATAGAACACTATATTGATATATAATGTTAATGTAATTTTGATGATATTAACACTATACTAATTTGTTTGTTTCCTACCTTGACAAACTAGAATGAGCTTATAATTTTTTATGTTTAAATCAAACGAATCATGTTATAACTATTATTTAGCACTTATAAGTCGTAAGTTTATGACCCATATATTAACTCGACTTGAATTGACCTAGCCCCAACTAACCCGAACCAAAACAACCTACCCCCGACTCAATTATCTATTGACTTGAAACTTGCAATGACCCGACTTGATTTTTTATTGACCTAAACTTGACTCGGCCAGAAATGACTCAACATGTACCCAATCCGAATTACCCGTTTACCACCTCTTAATAGTTAGTATTTGTAATCCCCCGTATTTTAAAAATATTTTATAAATGAAATTTTATTTTATTTATAATATTTATTTGTTATTTTCCGGAATTTAATTTCAAAAGTTTCAAATTATTAATCTGGGTAAAAAAATATTTGAACAAATTATTTTATGCACCTTTATTCTACAATTTATGTCCAATCAAACAAGCCTAACCCATTTGTTTACTTAATTGACCCATTATTTTTATGAGGCCCAATCTTCCTTTTTACCCTACAATAATTCTCTTCTATAAATACCCCATGAATCTCCAAAAATTTCCCATACAAAAAGGTTAGTCTTATTTTCATCCTCATTTGTTTCATTATTTTGCTTAATGTTAATTTAATTGTTTTGGGTTTTGAATTTGCTATAAAGACTATATTTTTAGTGTCAAATTATATTTTAATGGTATAAATATTATAAATTTCATATTATATTTATGTTATAAATTTTCATATTTTATGAATTATAAACCTAGGGTTTTAATTTATTGAAAATCATGATTTTAGGGTTTTTATGAACAATTGATTTAGGGCTTTTATAGTAATGATGTTTTGAAATTTTGGTGATTATAACTACTGATTAGTTTAACTTAATTCCAGATTATTTTGAACACGTAGATTCGTGTTTTAATATTTAGATTTTCGTTCGTTAATATTAATCCTGTTTTAATCCCAATCAGATTCTGAACTCATCCGATTTTGATGAAAAAGTAGTGTTTTCCATGTGGAAACAATGTTTTAAGAAAGACTCATTACCTTTGGTAGTGAACACCACCCTCTCGTGGCCAAATTCAGCCTTTAAATATGATTTTCGAGCAGTTTTTTTTTTATTTTAACGAAGTTTTTTAATACTTAAAATATTATCCTTGAGTTTGATTAATAAAATTAATTATGTTTAAAGTTAATTAAGCATAAATATATGTTTTTATTGAAGTTTTAAGTGTTGGAAATAGTTTCTAAGTACTACTTTTGATGTTTTTATTTTAACGAAGTTTTTTATACTTAAAATATTATCCTTGAGTTTGATTAATAAAATTAATTATGTTTAAAGTTAATTAAGCATAAATATATGTTTTTATTGAAGTTTTAAGTGTTGGAAATAGTTTCTAAGTACTACTTTTGATGTTTTATAAAGAGGGTTTAATCACCCATTAAAAAGGGAGATTATTAGGGGTTTTTATATAATTTTCAGATTTTTATTAGACTTTGAACTTCCTGTAATTTCATGTATAAGAGTGTATTTTAAGGTTTTTATGAAGAAAATTTAAAGAACTATATATAAGCCTTTAATTTTAACTAAAGGAAAGGTTTTAAAGTGTTGTTTGATTTGGATTTTGAAGGTTTTAAAGTAAGTTAGTATTACTGTAAATTTGATTGATTGGGTATTGATTGAGATGTTATTATTTGGCTTAGGAGAGGAGTTTATTGAAGGTGGTTTCTAGTTAGGAAAGTGGCATACCAATTCGTTTGCTCAAGGTACGTGCAAGTTACGAAACCTTGCTTTTAGGTGCATGTTTAAGGACGGATCGAGAACTTAGTATCATGTATAGGATTGACTGGGTTAAATTGTTTGGTTATACATTGTGAATTTCAAATGATATGCACTATTTTATATTGCAAGTATTATTTGTGCTCTAATTATGCAAGGTGCGTTTAGAGGCAAAGGTATGTGATTGGTGTAAAGATTAATTTATTACTCATTCATGATTATGCAAACAGGATGAGTAAAGGAAGGATTTAAGTCTTATAAGACGAGGTTAAGTTTTGGGGTGCCTTATGAACTCAAGGTGTTTATACACCGAGGTAGTTAAAGGAATAAATAATAAATATTGCTTGTCACTAATAAATCAAGAATTGAAATTGGAAAGTTGTTTTGCTTGATTGAATTGATATTGGATTGATTGTATTGTTTGCATATGAGTCATCACCAAGTCTAAACCTGTAAATCACGTAAAGTGCAAGATGGATGAGCAATAAAACTCTGGATTGGTGCACTTCTGGAGTAATGACAATCAGGGGTTGGGGTACACGGGGTATTAGCCGTGTACTTTTATCGAGGCTGTCTGATCTACGAGTCTCCTATTTCAAATATTTTTTTTAAACTAGGTGTTAGGTGAGATCTCATACTAACTATAGTCACGGAGTCGCGCTTGTGGTCGTTGGATGTTTATTAATGTTTCCAAAAGGAGGCATGGGGTTTTTCTTTTATTGATGTTCCAAATGGAGCATGGGTTGGACAACCTTGTCTATTGCGTAATCGAATGAAATAAATAAATGAGTTAGTTAATATCAACTAGTGAACTCTTAATAAATTTGATAGTTGAGTCATGTGTTGAGTCTATAATTTAATGATGCATGATGATTGATTATTCGTAGCATGTTAGGGATTTCTTAATTTATTTCGCAGCTTGTATGTACTCAGCTTTGCTGATTGCGTGCTTTTGTGTGTGTCTTTCTTTGGTCATGGCCTTCGCCTTTCAATGACCCTGTGACGATTCAATTTTTACACTTGTAATATTGGGGAGCAGATTAACCACAGGTTCTTACATACGCAGCATTCGCATCTAGGTTGTGGGATTTTGAGTAGAGAGTTGGTTATTATTCGCAGTTTATTTCTTTTCATAAGTTTGAATTTATTTAAACTCTGGTTTTTATTTATTTACTACTTTTGTGGGGTTTTGAATAAGGGCCTTAAAGGTTCCAAGTTGTATGATTTAATTTGGTTTTCGTTATTGGTTTTGAAACTTATTTATAACTGAGTTAGTTTTTCCGCTGCTAATTTCTGATATAGCCTTAACGTTTGAACACGTGGCGGTAGCACGCCAGTAATTCTCTTGAATTTTGTTCAGGGTATTTACAGGTTTTAAGAGAGAATTATTGGGGTGTTACAGTATTGCAGCTATAGGCTGTCAAATTGTAGACTACGTAAATATTGAACTTGATGTAGACGCTAAATTTTCTTATTAACAAGTAATTTCTTAAGATAAGGGATTATTTTCATTTACTAATCAATTGAAATGAATTATTTATGAGAGAAGAAAATTAGGAACTCGTTTGTATTCAGAGTTAATGAGGTTAAAGAACAAGTAAAGTTAATTAAAGAGACAAGCGAATTAAAAATGGTTCCCTTTTAAGGAGAATGAGGAAATCGAGCACAAAGTACATTAAACGATTTTGGAGCTATTTCACGGTGCACCCCTTTTTCCTCCATTGAAGCTTAATTGTGAGCTTTTTTTCCTCCATTGATGAAGCTTCCGAGGTAAGATCTGTTTTTCTTAATAATCGGATATTATTTTAACTGTCATTATAGTCAATTTAGGGTTATTCTTAGGTGGATTATTGAGCTATTAGTTCTTATCACTGAATTATTTTTAGCGATAAATTTCCATGCTAGAAATTTGCTCTTCATATTCCTATAGGAGAAGAATTTATTTTGATAATTGAGTCAAATTTTGTTGTTAATGTGTTCCAGAACCCTTTAATGTTAGGATGAAACTATGAAAATGATTTATTTTTTTCGAAATATGTGAAAATGAAATTTTGATTATTAAGTATAATTTGGTAGCTAATGTGTTGTATAACACTTTAGTGTTAGGATGAAACTATGAAAATGGAATTTTGATAATTGAGTCGATTTTGTTGCTAATGTGTTGAAGAACGCTTTAATGTTAAGATGGAACTGTGATAGTGGAATTTTTTATCAAATACTTTAATGTTAGTATGAAACTATGAAAATGGAATTTAATTTAATAATTGAGACAATTTGGGTTGCTAATGTGTTGGCTGAAAAAGGATTGTAAAGGCGGATGATTTGGTGGTTATTTTAGTGATTGAATCTTAGCTCCAAGCTGCAAAGGTTAAATCCTCTAGATGCTCAATTATTGATGCAAGAAAATTCAATTCAATGGGTATATAAAATGTATGATAAGAGTAGCACATAGTAGTAATGGTGGGATATTGGGATGCTTTGAAACGATGTGGAAAAACAAAAGAAAATATCATCCATAAATGCTACCAGAATAGGCGAAGGTTATTTTGGAGGGCGAGTTTGTGATGAGAAGTCTCTTTAGGTATGGTAATTGGGTTGTTTGTGGTCTAATATATCTTCTTAAGGTGCTTTGGTGACAACCCCTGTGAAAGTAATAGTTATTTACCCTGAAATTCACCTATCTGATATACCGCATTTGTTTTAGTTAATTAGTTCATTTATTTGTGTAACTAAATGCTCTCGGGGACATGTATTTTTCCCCTTAATACAATTATGCTCCCAGGGAAATATATTTTTCCCTTTAATACAATTGCGATATGAACAAGTATGACTTCGTCTGATGTGCTTACTATCTTTCTGAAAACATTGCTACTTTTTTTAATATAATATAAATTTAAAAATTTAAAATTAAAATAGAAATTTTTGAGCATATCTCTATTTCCTGTCTGCTTGAAGTGTATATTTTTGCTGTTGTATGTCATACTTCTAAATCTATATCGAAGCTCCAAAGTCCATCCATATCGAGTTGCACTTGCTTATTTCGACTAGACCAGTCAGCTCCTGGGTAAAATATAGTATAGCCCTCATGCACAATCATAGTCTTTTAAACTCGATTTATATGATTTAAGTAGATGGCAGAAGAGGGAGCTCCTTATGGTTCTTCAACTTCCTAATCTTGTGTCACAGCTCATAATGTAAAATTTTGTAAATGCATATAATTCTGATGCATTTTTCATGACTAATCAGTATAATGCTTAGGAACAGCAGACTAACCATTTTTTTTTCTTTTTTTTTTTTATCTATTTTGTTTTTTTTGGACTATGTCCGGTTCAGGCAAATACATTTTCTTGATTCAACCACACCAATTAGCTCCTTTTATTTGCGTTTGCTTAACCCTAAGCATCTTTAATTCCATAAATATATAATTGTGGAAATTAAAAGTTTCAAAAGTACACATCAATACAAATCTAATATCTTCTTTGGTGTTTTTTTTTTTTCATTTCCCCCCCCCCCCCTAAAGGATTAGTGTACAAAAGGTTAGAGTTTAATCAAATCGGGAAATTAGATCATTTCAGATTGCATCAGTCATGGTGGACTAAACATAGCCTAGAAAGAAAACTAGATGGAGCATACTAAAGAAGCATCAGCAACCTAAATCTTCATTTTCAGATGAATAAGATTTGCAAATCTTTAAAATGCATAATTCATGCCACTTCTATTGAATGCCCCCAAAACAAAATGAAAACGGTGCCTTTCTTATGGGGAACTTATGCCCAAATGGCAGGGCCTTAATGATGGGGAAGAGCCTGGCCTATTGAAAACAAAGTTTCAGGTTGTATCACAATCTTTGATGAGTTTGTCAAGTGATAAGCATTGTGATTGCTTTCACCTAAGAAGCAAGGTTTTTTTTTTTGTCCCACATCGATAGTGAAGGCTCATTATCGGTATCTTGCTACGATTGCCTAACAAAATTAACTCTTATTGGAGTCCCACCTCGGTGGAGTAGATGAGAAAACTTGGTTGTTGTTCTATTTAATGCTCTTGCTATTTTGCTATCAAAGTAACTGATTTATGAATTAATATTTGTATTCATTGTTCAGTTTTAAGTATGGAATTAGCTGTTCCTTCCATGTCAGATGGTGAAGAAGATGCTGATGATGAAACTGATGAAGAGCGTCTTCAAACTATAAGCATTCTTAGCAATTGCATCTGCAATTCACCAAGTAAGTTCCCTTGTTTCTTTTCAAATTTAGGCTAATTTTCTCTAATTTGCTGTTAGTTTAAGAATTAGGGGTTAATTTTATCTATTTAACCTTGCTTGCTGCTGTCATATACTTTTCTTGTCTAGCTATATTTTGTGTTGTCATACACTTGTATATTTGATGTCATTTGCAAAGATGTAATCTTTATCTCTGGCATGGATTGTAGGGATTTGTTACTAAAATAACAATTTTGGTTCCATGATAACTAAACTATATCTCATTTTATTTCAAATTGAGAAAATTAAGACAAACTACTTCCCAATCGGCCATCTCCACTGGATAGAAACTCCACCCTCACCTCACGCTCCCTCCTTAGATGGCCAAAGAAATACCTAGCAACTTAATTAAAAGAGTAGAGAGCGAGGAAAATGAGAAATGCTGATTGTGTCTACCTTAACATTTACAAAGGGAGATATATATTTTTTTTTCAGTCATAACAACATATTTCTGAAAAAGCTAAATCATACTCCCTCCATCCCTTAATACAAAGCCTCTTTCGAGCATTTATACTCACATAATAAAGAGAAAGAGGCTTTGTATTAAGGGACAGAGGAAAAATATATCTGTATATCACTATGAAATCCTTAAATAGCTCTCGTATATACATAATCTAGTAAATACAAAAAATAAAATAAAAAATAATAATAAAATAAAAATTAAGATTCAAAAATAAGAAATTTAATAAAAATTAGCCAAAAAAGTGTGAATTTAAGATTACAATCAATGCTTAAGTGAGAGAGCACTACTTCGCCATGTATTCTATCTAAGATAGTGAAGCGATGGGGTCGTTGGTAAATTGTGAAGTGTGGTGGTTTATGGGAATTTTTGGTGGTGAATGGAAAAAGGCCAGTGATTGTGAAGTGGTGAGGCGTTGCCGCGTTGGAGATGACTGAGATGGTGGGATGAGGACTTGAGGAGAGAGAAAGTTAGAGAGAGATAGAGAAAAGAGGATACAAGAGGAAATATTAGGGAATCTAAATGACATTTTTTTTTCTTCTTTCGGATATCGGATATCCAAAATCTAAAATTTTGATATCCAGATAGGTATCCGATATCCGTATTTTCCGATTCGAAATCAACTTTGGATCGGATGCGGATCGGATTTTCAGATACTTTTGTTCATCCCTACCTTCTCATCGTCTTTTGAAATGCCAGATTGAGCTACTATGGTTTAAGATATGTTTTTCCTTATCCTAAGCATCTGTTTTTGTTGTCTGACATAGTTCCCTTTAGTTGTGTTTGCACTAGCTGGCATTCCATTGCTAAACACAAATTCAAAACACTCAACATTAGTCCAAGTATGGCATGTGGTGAGTATTAACATATTTGGACTTATGGTAAGTGTTTTGAATTTGTGTTTTGGCCATGGAATGCCAGCTGTTGCATACACAACCAAAGGAAACTATGTTAGACAGCATAAACAGATGGCTTAGGATAAGAAAAACACATCTTTAGCCATTGAAGCCCAATCTGGCATTTTAGAAAACGATGAGAAGGGCGAAGTTGGGAAGGAGCCATTGCAAAAAAGGTTTTTGAGAATAATAATTAGGGTGTGAAAGATGATTAGATGAGTGCTGCACATATAGAAAGTACACATATATATACATGAAAAAAGAAAAAAATGCTTAGTAAAGTATTGTGAGAAAAATAGGATGTGAAATGACTCCCACTTTTAGTTCCTAATACATAATTTATAATTACTTTTTAATCTATGTATTTTAAAGTACATCTTTATTATTAGAGTATAATTCTACGCCACATGTATGGCAAAGTTATCTCTCGCATATCCGTTTAAAAAGGTCCACAAATTACCACAAAGTTCTTTGATCTAATCATGCATCTCCTGAATTTGAAACTTTGTTTGACACAATTACTACTTCCCTGGTTCTTTGCAAATTAAAACTGCATTTGAAACTTTGTTTGACACATACCTAGGACATCATTACCAATTCAACTAGGAGTGTAATATAGTAAAATCTGCCATTAAGGGATCAGAACATACTTTCTATACAATCAACATGATTTTACAAGTCAACAGTATAAAGCTGCCATGTCATCTGCCCAGATGCAGCAGCCAAACATGCATAATGTGGCCATCCTGTAGTTCCAATAGAAGGAAAAAAAAAAAAAAAAAAAAGGTAGCTTTAAAATTTCAAATTTCCATAAACTAGAACCTCAAATATATTTAAATTGACAATAAGAATACATGAGCCACATAAAGATATACTACAAACATTGAGTTCTAATTATTTTATTATAATCACTACCAACTTTATGTTGTTTAATTATTCGGAGTGTATTCCAAGAACAAAAAAGTTCATTCTTCTGAATTTTAGCAAGAATGTTTTACACTACCCCAGAAAATGAAAGTAAAACAAACTTTTTAGTCATATCCCTGTAATTCTACAACCAAAACTAAGCACCAAATTTAATTGAAACATTTATTTTGCACATACCTACTTCATACGAAGTATATGTTAGCAAGCTTTTATAGTACATAGTAACCAAATTCCATTGATTAAATAGGGTTAAAAAATTATCCAAACTGGCCATTTCTATAATGCTCATGAAATGTATCAGTAAATTATGTAATATGGACAACTCCTTTTCATAGCAAGTAATTTTGGAGCAGAGAGAGCTCAGTCATTTAATCGTAATTCATGATAGAAATGATACAGAGCTCACCTGTAATTGATCAGCTATTCAGCTGAAGGAGAATTCCGAGACCCAATAGTTGAGTCTATCATTCCTCCATCTCAAAACCATAATCATCCTTTGCTCAAATTATCAAAAGAGCAACACTAAATGTACATCATTAGATCAATCAGAACATGACATTTAATAAAAGCAAATACCTCAGATCTACCAAATTAAGCAAATACCTCATATCTATATAAATTTTACAAACACCAAACATCAAAAATCTATTTTCAAATATAAAACATAAAATATTAGTTAGGTAAATGCTCTTGTCATACTCTTTGCACTTTGCCTAACTTCACCAAAATGCAATCAGAATTCCCACATTAAAGCAAATTGCAGTTCGTCATTTCCACAATAACAACAACAACAAAGCCTTAGTCCCAAAGTGATTTGGGGTCGGCTAACATGAATCGTCGTAAGGAATCGTATGATATAAAGAAAATGACATAACAAAATAATCATTTAAAAGAGTTTGAAGGAAGGTGAGTAAAGGGAGTAAATGAAAGAACATTTAAGAAAAAATTAAGGGAGCTTTAAAGAAAATCAAACATAAAATTCAAGAAAGTTTTAAAAGAGTGGCTAAAACGTCGAAGTAAAAAAATATAAGGGTTTGAAAACAATTTAGCAAAGGAAAACAATACAGTTCGTAAAAAAATTGGTGGGCTAAAAATAAAATTAAACACGAAAAAAAGTTTGAAAGTATATATAATCACGACATGTCTTTGACGTGAATTTTCTCCTTCCATACCACCTTATCCAACGCCATATTTTGCTCAATCTCCAAAGCACTCATGTCACTCTCAATCACCTTCTTCCAAGTTTTCTTAGGTCTTCCCCATCTCAAGCGATTCTCCCTCATCTTGTACTCCATCGATGTAATACTTACTTTCTTCCTTGTTATCTCATTCCTCAACCGATCCTTTATTGTATGACCTCACATCCGTCGTAACATACGCATCTCTGCCACATTCATCTTATACACGTGGCAATGCTTAACGGCCAACATTCGGTACCATATAACAAAGCAAGCCTTATTGCCGTTTGGTAGAATTTCCCCTTTAATCTATTGAGTATGCCCGGAGCACATAAAAAGCCCGTCACACTCTTTCACTTCAACCAACCCGCTTTGATCCTATGAGCTACATCTCTATCCAATTCTCTATCCTTAATGATAAAATTCATTCTCAAGTCGCTCATATAATAACAAAAATAAACAGTATTATAATATTAAAACAATAAATAAGTGAAAAAATAAATAAAAATAGATCTGGCATAAAATAGCTTAGGCCTACAAATTAGACGAAATAAGACATCAAATTACCACCTTATCAATGCCAATCTCTCTCCTCCATCTTAATTTACTTTCCTCTGTCCTCTCCATCACATCCTCCTCCTCTAAAGCCTTCCTGTGCTCTGACCACTGGTAATGATGATGATTCAGCGCTGACACCACCATCTCTCTTCTGTTGCTGCATGATCAACCTTTGTGCCACTCTCCCAATTTAATCTATACATAGTCTTCCAATTGTTAATCCTATGAGCCACCCTTAAACTTTGCAATATTGTTGATGCCAAACGTTTTTGGTTCCTTATCTCACCCTCTCTTGATAGACTTCACTCCTATGTACACCCTCTTCATCGGACTTCTCAAGCAGATCATATGCCATCACCACCCTTTCCACAATCCTGTCATGGGTCACCCTCCCTGTTAACACTTTAAGGTCTAATGGTGGAGAAGGTGATTAGGTGGCTGATGGTCGGAGAACCAGGAAGTGATTTGCTGCCTATCCTCCATTAGAGGAAGAGGAGGTGTTGGAGATGACTAGATGAGGGAGGAAAAGAATCAAGATGGAGAAGAGAGTTTTTTTTTTTTTTTTTTTCCTCCAGATTATAGAAAAAATTGAGGGTTACCTATAAGAGTTTCCTAAAACGTTTGTATGGTAAAATATCCTTGGCTGTTACAATTGCTTTTTCATTTGTTGGAGAACTTGAGAAGAAGAAGAAGATTTGTGCGGGAAGGGCTTATCATGCATATGTGGCCTTGACTAGTGCCCAATTCATATATACTTGTATTGTATGTATTATGATTTTTCGCATTAAATAAACATCGTGATCTACTTTTTTTTACATTTTGCATATTATAATAGTATAGACGTATAGTGGTTATTGGTTAGTGTATGCAGGAAGAGAGTGATTACTTTGATGTGGAATCTTGATCCTTTTTTTTTTTTTTGGTAGTTAGAAAAACTCATTTTTATAATAGAATCAAATGCTTTTCAAGTGAACATTCTTTGGGGTTGTGATGCAAAATATGGATGCAATCTGGGGCAAACCTAATTTTCTGTTCTTAGAAGATAGAACTGTAATGATAATTGTCATTTAGATTGTGCCATGGGGGCAAGCCGGCAAGGAGCTAAAAATTACAGAGGCAGTAGCTAAACTCTATTCTCTTTTTGAATATCAATTTCTATGTTTGGTCTTCACTTTATTATAGTTAAAACATTTCAAGGGGCTTTAATCTAGAAGGAACTTAAAACTGATAATCATATGCAGAACACAATATGGTGGAAATGAATAAGTGACCGCTGTGAAAATAGCCATAGCAGCATTATATTATTGGTTTTCCTCACCGAAACAAATCGATTTGATTAATGTTAATATATAAATATACACACAACTTTGCTTTTGATGGGTGATAATTATCAGTTCTTTTTTGGGGGATGTTTTGCAGAACATTAAGCTTTAAGGATTTCCTTCTGTGCTACTGAAGAGGATTCTGTTGTTTACGGCTGATTTCTTGGGTTACAAACTAAATCATGGAATGCAATAGTTTGTCACCTAAGATGCAGCACTTTTCAGCATCTTTCAGTTCAGCTCAAAAGGATATTTTCACGGGGTTGCGAAGATTTTGGCAAAGGCATTGACGATGGTGAAAAGATAGGACTATTTTCATATCAAATGCGAGGAATGTGGCTCAGGTGAAGAAAAGCAGTTGCAACCGTGTGATAAGTGCAATAAAGGTTATTTTTATGTCAAATGCGAGTAATGTGGTTCAGGCGAAGAAAGGGAGTTGTAACCTTATTTTTATGTCAAATGTGAGAAATGCGGGTCAGGTGAAGAAAGGGAGTTGTAACCTTATTATTATGTCAAAATGTCAAATGCAAGAAATGCAGGTTAGGCGAAGAAAGAGAGTTGTAACCTTACATTTATTTCAAATGTGAAGAATGCTGGTCAGGCGAAGAAAGGGAGCCGTAATCCTGTGATAAGTGCAATAAAGGGTTTCGAGCTGTGTTAAAGATTTATTTTCTGTCAAGTGTGAAGAATGCGGGTCGGGTGAAGTAAGGGAGTTGTAACCGTGTGATAAGTGCAATCAAGGGTTTCATATAAGTTGTGTTTGACCCATCGTTGTTTGGGTCTCCATGACCATTAATTAGCAGAGTGAGGAAACTCATTTTAAAAAGTTGTACATTTTTATTTTGTTTTTGAAATTCAATGCTTGCATCGCGGGCATTTAAATTAATTGAGCACATTGATAATTAGTAGTATAATGAAAGTTGTCGAACCCTCTTATTATTTCAAGTATCATAATGGATTTTGGGCAACAATTGGCCTCTGTGCTAACTTTAAAACACGATATTACTCATTCTTTAAGCCTTCAAGTACTTGTAAATTGCAATGATAATTTGTTTCACCTTTGTCAGCAACAGCAATAAGCCTACCTTACAACAATTCTGTATTTTGTTCCTCTCAAAGCTTTACTATGTTTCATACAAATAGTTGAGCATTGGCTTTATCGCTATCCTCTGGCCTAATGTTTGTTGCAGGTCACTGGAATGAAGAGGGGGAGCTCTAGTAGCCCAAGCCAAAGGAGAAGAATCGCGAGTATTGGTTTCTCTTGAAGACTCAATGGTGCGCGGTACTTCAGTATTGCCCGACACTGATGCATACAATTTGAAGGTATTTGATGAGCAAACGCAAGTACAAGTGCAAACGCCATTATGAGTTTTAATTCGGCGAAGAAGTATTTGTAAATTGTACACACCTAGATGCTATCCTCTAGTTACAAATCTAACATCTACCTATGCCCATATCGCCATCGAAGACATAAGACCGGTACCTAGCAAAGCGGCCACATAACAAAATAATTGAAGCTTAAGATTTCCTTGAAGTTTTGGCCCTTTGAAATCAGAAGCCAACAAGTCTACCAAAGCCATGTAAATCAGCAGCCCTGCAGACACCGCGTTGAGAATCCCAACAACGATCAAAGCTATTGGACTATTCTCCTTGTACACAATAGGATCCCTAGGACGATCCCTAATGGGGTTGTCACCGAGAAGAAGAACACCATTATCGATTTAACCTTCAAGTTGTACTTGGCCTGTTATATACATTTAACAAATGATCAACAAATTAATTAATATCTCTAAGTCTATATATAGCTCTTTTATTAATATAAGGTTAAGTGAGAAAATTCGACCATCACCTGTAAAATGCAACCACCAAGTCCCATCCCTTCAAAGAGTTGATGGAAGCAAATCGCGGCTACAAGTGGCCTTATTGTGCAGGGATTATCTGAAGATCCCATTGAAAGACCAATTACAACTGAGTGAACTACAATTCCTAATTCCAAAACCTGCACCATAAACCTCTCTAAATAATTAAGTAGCTATAAAATTTATCAATCTCAACAAAATTATAAAGCTAGTTATAAAGAGATGCACAATATGAAACAATGTACCTGAGCTACAACGCGGTCTTTTAACAATTTCGAGCTCTCACAATCCATCATCACTTGTACAATCTGACCATGGTGATGACCATGAACAACATTAGTATTGTCACCCAACCCCAATTCAACCTTATCATCAACATCGTCGCCATTTTTATTACCATCGACATTGTCATTTTGTCGCCTAGATAAGGCCTTTTTTTTCATAGTACGCTATGGAAAATGAGTCCATCATCATAGTTCCATACGCGGAGATCAATGTAATAAACGGCGTGAAAGGGAAAACCTTCCAAGGCTTTTCAGGCAAACACGGCGAGGTTAAGTCATTCCACGAGTCAGGCATCACATGCATGAACCCCGTGGCAACGATAACCCCCGAGGCAAAGGCTCGAACAAGGAGGAACAAGTCCTTATCGGGGTGTAACGCAGGCACGGACCTCGAAAATAATGGTAAGGATACACCGACCATACTAGCCGCTAGTATGGCTAGTATGGCTAGTATGGCAATGTTATTAAGACTTTGTGCCTTAGCCCTATCGTGGCATCGACTCTCTACCTTGGTCAAACAATTCGAGGCCTCCTCCTCGGATTTTGCAATGACCGTCGAGAGAGAGCCAACAAGTAAAAACATTATGAGAAAGAAAGATACGTGATTATTGAGTTGATAATAAAACACGGTCATGACTTAACTAGTTATAAATTAAAATTTGAGTTTATCTTCGGGGTTTCATTGTAACAATATATATAGGGAAGGAACAAAGGAGTGTCATATGCAAGAATGTGTTGTAGTGTGGGAGCATGATGAAGAGTGTGTCGAGAGTGTGGTGAATTAAGGCAATGTTGTTAAAGACATGCTTTATCGACACATTCAACATACATGATGTTGTACAAAAGCGTCAAATTCGCAACAAATTAAATGTGTCGTATGTTTTACATGTTATGCTTTACGCATTTGTGTTATGAACATATTCCTAATTACTTACAATTCATCACCTTCGAAATATTAGGAACAATAAACAAAATCATAGTCAAAAGTCCATCTAGAAATCTTCTAATCACTTGTGCATCTAACAACCTGTTTTTATACGTGGAGATTAAATGATGGTTATGCTAGTTTATCATCTTTATAATCATTATTTCCTTAAAAAAAAATTCATCACATTTGTAAAAATACAAGTTTGAGGTTGAGATTGCATCAACATGTAAATTTGGAATTTCACAAATTCATTGTCATTAACGCTATAAATATACTATTACCAAATTTGCATCAAAATAATACTATTACCAAATTTTGCATCAAAAAATAAAAAACTTTCTATTAATTAAATAATCAATCGGGTTTGGGCTATAGGCCGACACCTCATGAGAGAATGTTGGACCACATACAAGCCCAAAAAATGATAGTAACTATTAGAGAAGTAGATCCTTTCTTAGGATTATAAAGTGATTCGATTGTTTTTCATTTTTCAATGTGGGACAATACTTTCATTTATATATGGATGTTTATGAAATCTAAAAACTATATAATATTTTACTTCGTATTCTACCAAACAAAAAGACTTTGGTAGGAATTTTTTGTTCAAATCAAAATCCTACCTTTTCTAGCATTTGTTTTGGGGAGTGAATCAAAATCTAAAAATTGAATCTTTTCTTACCACTAACCCAATATTTATTAGATAAAAAAAAAAACTTGCATATATAAAATGGCTAAAGCTTTGAATTTTCTCTATGTGGGACAATATGTATGGTTTTTGTGTTTAAAAAGCCAAAAGGACAAGTGATGAGAATCGATCCTAAGATCTCTTGAATCGAGAGGGCAGCTCTGTTAACAACTTGAGCTATCCTTCACTCTTTCGTTATCTGAATCAAAATAAATTTAGGAGTTTAAGCAATGAAAATAAATTAAATAGGGACTAACTACAAGTCTACAACATGAATACACCTTAAAGCAACCAATTCAAACTAGTAGGACTTGAACCCGTTGCCACACCAAATGAGTACTCCCTCCACACCTTCCATGATTGAAGGCCTTAACAAAGATTAATTGATGCCTTTTATATGCTGTGTGCATTGTCACCTAATTTCATAGGCCATTGGTTTCTTTCTTTGTACTAGTTAAAGTTTGTTCTTGTTGGTCTTTCACATTAGTTAATTAAATACGAGTTTTCGTTAGTATTGCTCACATTATACACATTCTTCATGTTCATAAGGTTGTGATTTAAATAATGTGACGGAATTTCATGTAGGTTATTCATGATATCTCAAAACTACACAGTATGTTACTCTGCCAAACAAGAACCTTAGTTCATGTTCCTAGATTATTATGGGTACGTAATACTCCGTACATGGAGTGTGGCAAGGCGAAAAGTGTGTACAAATCAAGGATTTATAAGTCCAACCTAGGTTAGACACTTGAGAGTAATGAAGAAAGAATAGGATACCCTACTCTTAAAGTACCCGTTTCAGAGATCAAACCACCAATTCCAAAATTAAATCTTCTTACCACTAGACCAACACATAATTATTGTATCTTTTCTTACCAAATGTAACACAATTTTGTGCTCAATCTACATAGCCATAGCCTCCAATATATCAATCGCGAAACAACATACATATAGTGTCCAAAGTCTCCATACTACATATGGTTAACGCTATGAAAACATAAAGTTTCTCAATATAAAAAATAAAGCATATCAACTAGTACTCTAAATTGGTCTGATTGAGTTATAATTACTCATTTATTTCTTAAATTTGTTCATCAATTAAACACTATGATACCTAGAAATGTTCTTCATCTACTACAATCCCAAATCTGTGAAGTGTGATCGACATGATCCAAGCCATAGAAACACACGTACGCACCTAAAAGTGTGCAGCGTCGAGTTGTTTGCCAATCTCGAAAGAAAGGAAGGCATCGATAGCAGAATATTGCACCTGTGCAATACTCAAATTTGGCTGACTCCAATCACTCAAAGTAATGTTTCGTTGCTTTACATACACCAAGTCTAGAACATTATATGCCAACGACACCAACCCTGCGTTGCGAAAACCGGGCTCATTCCACCTACATCGACAAACATATTGGAGCAATTAGTCACATTGATATCTATCGTTACATAGCTTGAATGCAAACTATTTGATGCAAATAATGCCTAGCTCTTAAATAGATGAAATATCATACGTGACACACACAATTAATTATTTTAATTCACAATACGCTAATTCAAGTTTTACTTTCAATCATCCAATACAATAATGATTCATGATTATCCCTAATTTGTACTCGTACAGATTATGAGAAAGTTGTACTGCGGTATTAAAAATTAAAACATAATTATTTAATAACCCTAAGACCCCTTTGAACAATTAGGCCGACTTTTTATATCTCGGATGTAAATCAGTGGTCATAGTTCCATACCATTTTTTTTTTTACTTGCACATTATTATTCCTATTTTTATTTTAAGATATTTTCTGTTTATTTTTGAAAATTTTGTATTAAGATTGAAAACTTCTTGAAGAATTGATATTATACAACAAATAAATAAATAAACATTAAACAACGTGCGTATACAAAGTAATAAAACATAACATCACATAAATTACGTACCCTATACTCGTAATATTCAAAATTGCTCAATTTTGACCTAATTTCTTCCAAAACATATCATTTCAGACAAATTAATTAAAAAATTAAAAAAAAAACAAATTCAATGATATAATTTCTTATTTTCTTGAATAGCAAGAATATTTTATCAAAGTTCGTTATTGTATACCAACTACCAAGTATAAGACCCCCAAAAACACTACTGTAATAATATTCGTTAAAGATTGAAAAAAGATTCATATTATAAAACAAAAACAAAGAATCAAAGAAAAATCAAGAAGATAATAATGTAGAAAAATTGAAAGAAAGGAAGAAAAAATTAACCTGGTAGAAACCAAAGTACGAAGATCAACAGTGTAACCAACGTATAACCCATAATCTTGATTAAGTTTTTGTACATCTTCATCAATACCAACACCAACAAACGTGTAATCTTCATTAGTAAGGAAATCGACGAGGGCTCGAGGAATCATAGTAGCGTACTGAAGTTGAAACACAAGGCAGTGATGGCCTACGCATAGTTGGAGTACAGCCACGGGGTTACGAAAGTACCTAGACGTGTTAGGGCGCCACTCGATGTCGAGGCCAACTACGAGTTTGTAGAGACGACGACGATGGATGTTTTTGACACGATTGATCCATGTTTCGACGGATGCTGCTGAGGATGTTACTGTTGTTGCGATTGAATGGTCGCCGAAGTTAACGTTCATGTACATGTTTTGTGTTTATTATGGTTTTTTGAGAGAGAAAAAAAAATGAAGAGAGAACAAAGGTTTTTTGGAGGAGGGATTTTTGTTTTATGTTGTTATTTGATGTTAGGAATGTTGTTGTAATTATGTAAAGTATATATATTGTGTTTCTTAAAAACAAATGGAAAAAAAATATAAAGTATTTATATTGAGTAATAGGAAGTTTCTTAGTTTAGGAATGCTTTAATACGGAGTAGATTTAGGAAGATAGCCGTGGCCCGTTGTAGGTTGTGATACTATTATCCGTAAATAATTACAAACTTTGTAGATTGTGTGTCAACTTGAATCATTATTTGACTTCAGGTTGGAATTAATTAGGTCGGGTCATTTTTGGATCATATTAACTCGAGTAATGTCAATTTGTTTTGGGTTGAATAACAACTCATAATTTCTAAAGAACGGACTAAGATAGAGAAATTTTTATAAGATGTCATCTTTAGAACTTAAATTAAAGTTCAAATTGATTGCTCTATCATGTGTCCGTGTGACTAGGTCTTAATTTTGCTGTTAAATTTGGTACAATTAGAAATCCCGTTTGATTAGGGTGATAATCGAACTCCTCTGACATGGGTAGTGAAAGAAGACCTTCAACCAGTAAACCAACCTTGATTCTCTTGGCAACTCTCACGAAGGTGTAATACTAACATTTTTGTTGCAAAAATCTTCACCAAAACCTTCAAATTTCATAAACATATTTAATTCCATGGATCTTTTTTCTACATTTTTCCCAGAAATTGTAAGTTTAGTTTATATTCAGCATTGTGTTTTTGTTATTTTTTATGTTCTTTTCTTTAAAAAAAAGAAAGAAATCTGGGTACCCTATGTCCCGACCCGAATAATTCGGGTACCTGAAACCTGGGTACACGAGATATTGGGGTTGGGACAAATTCACAACTTCCCGAAATTCCGGGTACCCGAGTTTTCGGGTGGGTTTTCGGATACCCGAATTTGAACACTCCTACGAGTACCTATACAGCTATACTATTAAAATAAAAAAAAATTATTAAAAAAAAATTCCTCATTATTTTTACGTGGTTTTCCTTTAAACTTCTTCACACTCACACCCTCCTCTCGCTGGAAGCCTACTCCGAATCCTCCATTTAAGCGGCGTCGAGGTAATTAACATGTTTTTTTTAATAATCGAATATCAATTTAACAATTTAGTAGTGTTTGTCTTTTATTTGAAAATCAGGATAGCCAATTCATTAGGGTTCTACTAAGATTGATTATCGAATTATTGGTTACTATTATTCAAGTAATTAGATATTATAGCGAGCCTTTTTTGCTATGTACACTTTACCCGTGGCGTTAATACTCTTAAGCAAGAAAATTGTATGTGAATTTTCTACCCTAATATGGTTAATTGGTTATTCAGTCAAATTTCGTGTCTGATTGACTCCATTAGTCTTTATAATTTATATGCATTGCCGAATTGGGGTTTTGAGGTTCGTCAAAATGAGTGATTTTCCACGAAATTATTTTCGTCAAATCAAACAGAGCCTTAATGTTAGAATGGAAATGAATATTATGACTTTTTAGTATTTCGTGAATGAGGATGCCCCTTTTTCCTCATGGTGGCATTTTCATAAATAAATCAACAACTTTATTCAAGTGTAGAGCTCACAATAATAAAAAAGTTGTTGATTTATTCACGAAAATGCCCCGTGAGAAACAGGGAATTTTCCTTTCGTGAATTGAGGTTACACTATATTAAGGAAGGTTATTTGAGCTAGAAGCCATTGACTGCAAATTGGCAATCCTGTTTTGAATCAATGTTGTTGTGTTGTTATTAGGATGGGTGAGACAAAGCGAAAGGCGGAATCTTTGCTGCCCTGCTCTACAAAGAAGAAGTTAAATAGGGATGGGGTAGTTGCTATAGGAGACGAGGAAGAACGTGTCGAAAAAGAGTCAAATTCCATACAACAGCTTAGTCAACCAACGACAATGGATGAAGTGAGTGATGAGGATGAGGTAAATATATGTGGCATTCCTTTGATTATTCCTACTTGTAAGGATGCAGGAGGAGCAAGCGTAACGTTTGTTCTTGAAAGAGCTTCTTTGACCCTTGCTAATGTTGGCAAAGTAAGTGCATTTAATTTTTAAACTCGTGTTATGTTTGATGTTGTTAGAGGACGAACTCAACCAAAAGCTTAAGCTGATGGTTGAGGTCTAGGAATATGTTTTATACTCTATCAGATCTTGTATTGCGAAATTTCTGTTTTTAACTTAAAGAGCTAATCATTTTATATCTTCTTATAGAGATACCAAATACTGTCTTCAAATGATCATGCTGATTATTTACGAAAGAAGAAAATGAATCCTTACATTTACAGGCCTGATATAGTCCATCAGGTTGGTAGCTAGGATTCTTCATTTGATGATTTCATCCTTGATAATATAGCTTAGTGTACATGTACTTTCCATTTGTTGTGTATGTACATCTGCTCGTCTTTGTAGTCTTTTCACTAGAGCAAATTCCGCTTTCATATTTATTCTTAACTTCAATTTTGTTCCATAATTGATATTTTAAGGCACTCTGTAGTATCATGGATAGTCGAATTCGTAAGGTTGGTAGGCTGAAAGCAGTGTACATCCAGACAGAAGATGGAGTTCTGATAAAAGTAGAACCAAATGTTCAGATACCAAGGCAATTAGAAAGTTTCTGTGATATGATGGGTTTGTTCTTTCCCTCTGACTGATATTGATGATTTCAGGGTTCATTGTGCAAATTGTGTTCTCATATAAAAGTTTATTCTCTGATGAACATTTAACTGCTACAGCTGAATTATTGCAAACACTCCGCATCAAAGCCAAGGGTAGCCGTAAACAGGTTCTGCGTGTGGTGGCCAATCCTGTAACAAAGTATTTATCTCCCACGTCACATAAGATAGGTATGTATTGACAATATAATGCTGGTGAAATTTTGTTTACTTTGGCAATTCGTTTCTGCAATATGTTCTGCTGCTTTAGGCCTTTCATTCAGCTCAGAGAAGGCTGTTGAACTACGAAAGTATGTTAGTGGAATCAATAGCAATGAAGACGTTGTGTTTGTGGTAATAGGTTCAATTATTTGATTTGATGTACTCATTAGTCAGTATGTGCTTTATCTTTGCTTCTGATCACCCCCCTTGAAACTTCCAGGTCGGTGTGATGGCGCGTGGTAATATTGAATGTGATTACATTTAGGACCTTGTATCAGGTATTGCTTATTTCGGTTTCTTCCTTTGAATGTTTCATACTTTCATATTTCCAATGATAAAGAATGCAAAAACTTCCCCTTCTGCTATAAAATGACTAATCCATGATTTTCACTTGGTAATGGTTGTATTCCTCTGCACGAAGCAAACTTTTCCTGTTTCAGTATTGACAAGCTATCTGCACGACTTAAGTTGGTGGATAGATTTCATACATTCTAGACTAGATAACAGGTCCTATGGACATTGACAAGCTATCTGCACGACTTAAGTTGGTGTATCTTCGTGGTTTTCTTGTAGAGCAGAAAGTAATATAGCCTCATACTCTCATAGGATGATGCATCCTCCTGCCTATTGAGTATTGACTATTAAGTTTCTGATTCCTAGATGTATGCTTTCGGGTATCCATTGTTCCGGTGTGATCCTAGCAGTATGTCTGTCTCCATGAGCACTGAGCACTCACATCTGCGCTGTTGCTCTGTTGATCATTGAGTGTGCTAGCTGCAGAGTGAATGTATTGATTAGGAGTGAAAACCACAAGTAATAAGTGGCAGAGTTGGATTAATTTTCCTATTTATCTTCCTTTGCTTTATAGTTTGATCACAAATTCAGAAATGAATCTCATTATCAGCACTAAGCTCATGTGCCATATATAATTTTTATCATTGCTCCTGAAGTTCCAGCTTGTTTCTACCAAGGCTAATGCACAGAAGCCTACTGCTGAATTAGCGAAAACTCTTACTTTGTGTTCTACATTTTGATTTATTCTGAACTTTAAGGAACCAGGAACTTGGCCTGTGTAAATAATTTCCTTGATGCAAAGTGCTAGTTGATGCATCCTTTTGCTTCATTTCTGTGGTTTAAGGATCTGATTGATATCAAGTGACACTTTAGCTAATGCTATATATCTAAAGCTTTACATAATACTAATTGTGCTTTGTTGCTGGCAGTCTCGCCTGAACACTTATCTTCTGGGACCTGTTTGCATAAAATATGCAATGCAATGGAGAGGAGATGGAGCGTACTTTGAAGTTGAAGGTGCAATCCTAACTGTTTTTTAGACGGCGTATATAAGTGGTCAGAATAATAACTCATCTCTAACATGCATTCAATCTTATTCTGTGCTATACTACTTGTAAGAAGTACTCCAATTCATTACATACAGCACTGGTTTCTGCATGATTAATTGAAATTGCAGTTTGATGAATAAGTGATATTATAGTTTCTAGTATTAGTACTAATGAAATTCCATTATATATTTCAAAACTCAACATTATTTACAGTTTTCTCATACCATTTAACACAGCAGAGTAATTACATTATGGTCTTTGGGTTCTTCCATCAAATTATTGAACAATTCATCATCTCCCCACCTCCGAACACACAAAAGCTTGTCAAATGTCAATGTGTCGCTTTGATGAAACTACATAGCTCTACAAAGTTGTGTAATTACACAAAAACTAATGCATGCGTTGTCCAGCATGATGGAATATATTGCATACATATGAAGTGTGGCATTATCTATTTATATTTTGTGAAATGCAAATGACAAAAGATTGTTGCTTGTCCTTGTAGAAGTTATAGCTTGTATATTGTATCGATGTTATTAGGAAATAATATTATGGCAAGCTAAACCTACAATGGATGTAGCTAGCCATTGTGGTTGCATTAAGTTATCTAGTTGAACATTTTATCAAAAAACAAACCGCTGGAAAGAAGCTTTGAAGAAGATATATAATCGTACAAAATGAGTATTTTATGCTTCATATATAAAGTAACGCTTCAATTGTGTAATTACTATTTTATTTTTTTTATTTTCAATTCTAATGTTGCCTAGTTTACCCCTCATGAATTATTATATGGAGTAAGGCCCTGTTCACTTCACCCTAAAAAAAATAATATTAAGTAAAAATAATTTCAGTTCAGTAAAAATAGGTTCAGTTCAGTAAAATTAATTTCAGTTCAGTAAAAATGATTTCACTTTAATAAAAATAAGTTCAGTTCAGTTAAACTCAGTTTTTTTTAAAGAAGAATTATAATAGAAATCAGTAAAAATAATTTCAGCTCAGCAATAATAATTTAAGTTCAGTAAAATTAATTAAAGTTCAGTAAAAATAATTTAAGTTCAGCAAATATAATTTTGTTTCAGTAAAAATAATTTCAGTTCAGCAAAAATAAGGTGAAGAGAACGGGGCCTAATTATTACTACCTCCGTTACATATTATTTGCAACGTTTTGACATAAAGTAAAGAGGAAAAATGTCTAAAGCAAGATTAGCTCTGTCTGATATAAAGATTTTAACACATTGCCACATCAGCTTTTATATTAAATTTTTTTTTTATTTTCAATTATGTTAAAAACTCCTTAAGACTCAATCAGATTTATCTCTTCAATCCTCAGACTTATTTTAGACTAGTTTTGTGCCCGTGCGATGCCCGGGTTGTTTATTGAATTTTAAGATATGTTTTTAATCTGTAAGTCAAATTTTAAAACATATCATTAATACAAAATTAGTTAGGAATTGATATGTTTTTGTGACGATTTAAACTTGTAGACATGTGATGACTAATAATAATAATATTGGTGAAAAATATTTCTTGACCCATAACCTGAAATAATGACCCTGTCTGAATTGACTGGTGACCCGACTTGATTGACAGGTCTACACATAGTAATAAAATTATATAAGATTGTGAAGTATATTATTTTAATTGATTAGGATATATTATAAACAATGGATGTGGTACATTTTGAACTAATTCCTTCGCTCCAGAAAAATATTATGATACAAAAAATAAATTTATATGATAATTTATGAGAGTTATAATCTAATTATTTTTTGAATAAAACTATAATTCAATTTGTGTATATGAAATATTGGTATTTTATCAAAAATAAAACTCTAAATTAACAATTTTATCCTAAAATTTTATTCAAATTTAATTGAAAGTAAAATTCTAAACTATCTTTTTTATCCTACAAATTGAATTTATATAACTCTATCCTACGTGGCACGACACTTGGCGAAAAATTGAATTCTATATAACTCTATCCTACATGGCGCGACACTCGGCGAAAAGTTGAAACGCCAAGTGTTGTTATCTCGTCATCTGGCTAAAAGTTTAGCTTTATATATTAGTTATATGATTTCCTTAAAATATTTATTATTATTTTATATATATATATATATATATATATGTTTTTTTCTAAATACATTTATAATTTTAATATGATATGGATATTCATATTGGGGTAACAAATTTCTAACCCACTTTAGATGTCATAGTTGAAAAATAATAGCAAAATAGATCAAGCAAAAAAAAAATCAATGGGATATTTAGCTTTTACAATACATATATAGAGTAATTGTATTATGACTAGGTAATAAATATTAAAAACCAACAAACAATAACAAATAAATAGGATAATGTTATATAATATATGTATTTAGTGGATGCCCATTTTACCCTTATGATAATTCTAAGATATTCTAGATATACCAGGTTTATTATTATTCGAACCCTAATTGTATCACTAGTATATATATGTACTCCCACATCATTCAGTAAGATGAAGATAGATTTATTCTCTCCTCTATTTTTCCCTTTTTCTCTTTAATTTCATAACACGTTATCAGCACCAAAGCTCTACCCAACTGATTAAAATCAAGACTTGCCGATTCAAAAAGGTAGTTTTCTTCTTTACGTTGATTTGCAATTTAAATTTTTATTCTTTAATAACATGACATTGAACTTTCATTATAAATTTCTTTGCAAAACAATAAACTTTTAATTCGAAAGTTATTAGGATCAGATCCAATATATTCTGAAATAATTAGGTAAAAAAATGTACTCTGTATTTCATTATTGGATCTTATTTTTAGGATAGCCTTGTAATTCTATTTGAACTCTGACAACTTGTTGTGCAAGGGCTATGAGATAGTTTGTATGATTGTATTATGTGAGCAATAATAATAATCAAGTTCCGTGCGTTCCTTAGCAAAGTTTTGGTTTTGCTAAAATTAAGAAGATTTTTAATGGGCTAAAGGATAGCAAAAGGCATTAATTATTTAATGTAGTATGTTACATATACTAATGTAACTCATAGTTTATATTAATTTGTTATTCGAGGGTTTCGAGTATAAAGTTCAATCAAGTGGACTAGAGTACATATTTCTTGATCAATTATTATTTCTTTTTTTTGAACTATTTTTAATTGGGTATTTAACTTCTTGTGCGAAAAAGTCCATTTGCATGGAGTGCCATTGATACATATATACTATATAGACATAAAGTAAATGATTACTTTGGTTATATGTTTTCATAATTGCCTTATATGAATAAGTAATGGTACTATATTGCACTGTGACACAAACACTAAGTATTACGAATGATTTAAATTTATGCTTTTTTATCTTGTTTATTTAAGGAATGAATTATGATTATTATTGCTACCTTATTATAATAAACCATGGTATAAGAATTACTGTGTGATGTTTGATTATCTTTTGATTATCTTTTGATTGCATATGGAGTATTTATATTTGGTCATTGCCTCATATTATATCTAATCTTAATTATAATTCTAAGATATTTTATTTATCAAGATATCTATGTATATGGAGATTTTTTTTTTTTTTTTTAATTAGTATTTTACAAGTTCTAACAAACTAATTAAAGATAAGATTGACTTTATCTATTTGTAGCTCTATTAACCAAGAGACCAATTTTATTCGTATATCAAGTCTATTTTGCACCCTTAATATTAACCAAAAGTCTATATTTATTATGTGTTCATCTATAGTTTTAATTTATCTTTTATGTGTTTTGTCGAGGAATTGCTCGATACTTGATATTTGATACTAGTCAAATACATGTCTGGACAATTGTATTTTAAACTATAAAAACAATGATTAGTCAGATGGTGACTTTATAACTGCATACTCCTTTTCAATTTTGGACTTGAAGTTCTAAATTTTGTTCTTTTAATCTATAATTTAAAGTATCTCATGTACGTGCATTAAAATTGACATTAACTTAGTAACCTTATAAGTGGGTACTATATTGTGAAACATACTAACACGATGGTATAAGTATTGTTTGATGTGTGATTGAATTTGATTATATACCTATATACATGAAGTTGAATTATAGAATGATGAATAAATTGAACATGAAGTATTCATACGTAACGTCTTGAAGTTCCTTAAATTAATGAATTGAAGGGTCAGATATACCGTATACGTGACCTAAATATGTCCACCAGTCACAGGACTAAAGTGATTTTATAAACACCATGCTAAGAGAAAAATGTACAAAGTATTTTGATTAATTCTAATATTGTCTATTGGGTGCACATTTAAGACATATATATATATGTTGATAAATAATTGAATTTACTCATTCCCAGAAGTGAATGAGAATTCTTATGATTAAAAGGTTTATGTTTGCATGGTGATTATCATTCATGTAAAGTTCATAATAATTACAAACATGAGTACATAATATACATTTGAAATCTAAGCATGACATTGTGAAAGGATTAATTAATTAGTTGAACAATGTATTCATTATGCCCATACCTTTGAAAATTTTCAATATAAAAATTTATATAATTGGGCAAGAGGAAATGAATAACTTTCATTTGTTTGATACATGCATTGCTAAAAGAATTTATGGCTTAAAAGGAGCAAGAGATTTAAAATTTGTTGAACTATTTTTATACCCCCATATGCAAGGATTAGGGGGAGATAGTGTTCATTCCATTGTTTTTAATTAATCATGAATAATTGAATATGGTGATGGTCAGTTTGGTACATACACTAGCATAAATATCAATGATTTATTTCTTAATAGAGGTGGCCACATGATAATCAAATATTTAGAATGTTACCATCCTGAAGATGGATAATGAATAAATGTCATTACCTATATACCACCTATAAATGTACATATAAGTTTATGTCCTAGAAGGACATGATCAATTGCTATTGAAACTAGCACACCTAAAGAGTGGTAATCCAAAGGGTACAATGATAAGAATTCTTGGAAGAAGAAAAGAGATAATTAACAATGACAAATTTGAGAAAGTGATACATTTTGATAGATCTCCTTAAGAAATAGTTTCTAGTACATTAAAATGTGTTATGATTATATAAAGTACTCCAGAAGAGTATACAATGTTGTCCAACAAGATTAGCATGTATCA